AGGTGGTGCAGGGTGGTGAAGGGGCCCGTCGTTGTCACAGTTTTTGCTCGGTGCGAAGCCTGAAAAGAGAGCTGAGCTTTGGCCAAGGCTATGCCGCCCTGGCCAAAGAGCAGCAGGTCTGGCTGTCGCTGGGAGGCGTCTGCATCCGCAAAGACCAAGAAGTCCACTTTGTGAGGGTGAATCGTGTGTAAGCATCGTGTAACCGGCCGCAGGCTTCCAAGAGAAGGTGGAGGGCGAGCCCGAGACTTGGTGGTAGAGCGGCGCTCCAGCTTTGGGATTCGGGCATCGCAGCCGCTCTAGCACCTCTTCCTGGCGTCGAGGACAACAAGATTCTAAACACTCACGTGATCCTCAACTCTGAGGGTGAGATGGTGTCGGTCTACCGTTGCTTGGTGTGCACCGGTCGAGGGAGAGTTGTCCGGCACCTTGGGGGCGGGCTTCTGTAACAGGCAAGATCCACCTGTTCGATGCTCCATTCACCGGATTGGTGGAGTCCAAGCAGACCGTGCCGGGCGCAGACGTGGTCGCCTGCGACAGCGCTGTCGGCAAGCTGGGCGTGACAGTCTGCTACGATGCACATCGGCTTGAAACAAGCACGATATCGTTTCATACCGCTTCAAGATGACTGCTCCCGTGCTCGCTAGGCATGTGCAAGTCTCTGGACATGTCACGAGGTCCGTTTTCCGCAGCTGTACCAGCAGCTGCGCTTCGAACGCGGAGCAGCGGCCTGGTTTGCACTGGTCTGGTCGTGCAGGACCCTCGTTCGGACGCGCGTGTGAATATCGCAGCATTGACGGGAGACCATTTCCGGTGGTGCTGAAGCTAGCTACACTAAGGAAATCTTACTGATCCCCTCGGCATTCTCCATGCCGACGGGCGAAGCGCACTGGGAGCTGCTCATGCGGACGCGAGCAGTGGAATGCCAGTGCTACGTGATCGCTGCCGCGCAGGCAGCTCGGCCTTTGGTTGCTCCATGCATGGAGTCTGCTCGAAAATACTGCCCTAAATCACGTCTCAAATCGCAGACGTGACCAGACCGAAAGTTGAAGTCAGTCGCTCGGAACCCAAAAGCGAAGCAGCTCCGAAAAGCGAGACTCGACCTCGCGCCAGGCCGGGTTGCACAACAAGGACGGCAACCGACGCCAGTCCTGGGGACACGCCATGGCTGTGGACCCTTGGGGCAAGGCGAAGAGGGTTGGGTATGGTTAGGGAGGGTGAGATGAGACCCGAGGGCTTGGTTCGAGCAGGTGCTGGCGGAGTTCGACGGCACCTCCTCTGGTGTCAAGGTGGTGGAGGTGCAGCCCGATGCCCTCGAGGACTCGAGCTTGAGTGGATCTCCTGACCAGCTTCAGCTTTGAACGCAGTTCTGCGGCAAGGATGTGCGAAACAAGATGCCGCTCTCCATGCAGCGCCGCTACGACATCTACGGGTCGCCAAAGAGCTAGCAGAGAGCAAAAGTCGCACCTCAGGTCAGGAATCGCAACAGGAAACCTAGTTCAGAGTGCATGAAAATGGCACATTCAACTTTCAACAGCCCCCTTCCCTCCGTCTCCCTCTCTCTCTCTTTCATCCGTCGTTTTATTTTCTTCCTTCCTCAAGACCCGAACCCGACGTCGCCAGGTCCAAGCCCGGGAGGCCGGGCGCCGACGGGCCTGGGAGGCTCCCGAGCTGCGCGAGCTGAGGCGACGGCCACCGCGTTCTATCGCGTTCTCACGGTTTGCGATTTGCTGATTTTTGCTGATTGTGCCAGCACCAGCAGCAATTAATGTAGTGTTGTCAATTGGCAGAAGCAGGGTGAGCTTTGAATTGGGAGCCGGTGGTTAGCACTAAGCTGTTGGTGTCTCCTCTGCCTCCTCCTCCTCCTCCTCCGCCTCATCCCATGCCTAAATCCTGAACCCGTATAAAAGCCCTATAAAGCCCTAGGTGCAGCTGACGCCCTGCTTGATGCAGGCGCCACTACCAAGAGGTGGAGGCCGAGCAGCTACGGCAGCTGCAGGCCTTTGCAAGAGCAATGTCTGATTTCCGAAATAGGAAATGGTGGAAATCGTCTTACTCTTATTGAGCAATAACGGCAATACTGCAATTGCATCAATCATAGCGAAATATCTTCTCGTAGAAGACGGTGAACCTTATGAGTGCTGCTCTGAGATGCGTGGCTCCACCTGCTTCGCCGCAAGGTGCTGCGCAAAGAAGTGGAGGCCGCCAACTGATGCCCGATTTGCGGGGTTATCAAGCGAAACATCAGGCTGAAGTAGGTGGCTTTGTCGGTTTGTAAGCGTTGAGATTAGAGCCAACAGTCCCGCAACGCCTCCCAAAATGCCCAAGTCCACAGTTTCGACCCAAAGTCTTTCACATGGTAAATGACAGTAAATGGGCCTCAGTGCTCTGGTAAGCCAGAGCTCGTATTGAATATGTCATGGTCGCGAGGCCATTGGAGCCCTTCTCTCCTCCCTAGTCAATTTGGGAAGCACCTGTTCGTCATCTATGCTCGCGAGGTTGTCTGTCTTGTTTTCGCCAGCTCCACTGCCGAGACAACCTGCGAGGAAGAGGCCCGCGAGCAGGAGGAGCAGGTTTCCAGGGCCGCTCACGAGGCAGGGAGACGGCTCTTCCCATGGCTCTTCCCACGCACGACAGCCAGACTGGCGAACACAGACTCCATTGAAGGTCGAGTTCCTGGTGCAGGAGCGGGCAAGTGCCCACCTGGCTGCGGAGAGCCGTGCTCGTGTGACACTCAGGCAATTGCTTGCTGGATCGAAAGGAACAGCTTGCGGACCTCAGGCGCGGTGCAGTTGCAGCAGGAGGGCGAGGCCCCCGCTGCTCGTGCCATTGTCGGGCCAAAGGTCACGGCAACTGCTTCATTGCCAGGCAGAAGCAGCACGAAAGACCCGCGAGCAAGCCCGGAGAGCTGCCAAGGCGAGGTGCTTTGCACACACTCTAGACTCTAGCCCGATACTCAAATAATACGAGGAGAAGCACCAGGACAAGATGATGGTGCATGCAGCCGTTTACAGGGCACAGCAGCAGGACTGGACTTGTCGTGCTTCTTCAAGCACATTTGGGCCATTTGGTTTCTGAGAGGAGTCCCTGGCTTGGGCTGCTGAATAACTGAAAAGCTGAGTAGTGATTCGTGGCGACGTGGCCTTCAAGCGCGCCCTATGCAGGACCTAAAGACAGAGACAAGGAGGTAGCGGAAGCGGGCAGCCGTGGCCGCCTGTTTCTTGCAAGAAATTCATGGGACAGGCGCGAGCTGCAGGCTGCGGTGCACGCGGCCTTGGACAGGCCCCTGCTCTGCAATCCACACGCTGACTGATTCCTTGAGAAGGAGAGTCCAAGGATGTTCTCGTCATTTTGTAGCATGCGTTCATATCCGTTCTGGTCAGTCAATAAGGCTCATAATGGAGCAAGCCGAGCTGCAGGAGCAGGAGGCTGTGCGTAACGGTGAATCGCCCACTGCTTCTGACAGACTCTTGCCTCTTGCTGAGGGCGTCGTCTCACTCCCCGTACTGTAGCATTTCCTTCGGCAGGTCCGAGATGAAGAGGCGAGAGCTCTCAACTCTCAACCGCAGCCATGGAGTTATACAGAGTAGCTGAGCCAATGCTCGTCGCTGGTTGCGTCCGTGGGTGAGTCGGTGCAGGATGCTGACCGGCGTGTGCAGAAGCAGCAGAGCGGCTTGGATGCGAGAGTATGAGAACACTTGCAAAAAGCCTTGCGATAATGCTCAGGTGCGCAGGCATCGTTTTGGGCCGCAAGGGCCCAGGCAAGTGGTGGCTGGATCATGCATTGCACACTGCATGACGTGGCATGCAGTGGGCACTCTGCTTCTTTTTACAGTGCAATGCAATCAATCAATCATCTCGGTTCCATTCTTTTCTCAACCCCCTCTCTGTTTCGACGCCCTGGCCAGGAGCGCCGTGCGGCGGAGCACGCTCGAGCACAGGCCAGGTTCCGCTTCGGGTGATTCGAGGAGTCGAAGAGTGCTTTACAGCGGAGTCCAGGTGCTGCAAAGAGTGGCAGCCTCTCTGACGCAGCGGCAAGAAGACGAAGAGCGTCTTCAGCTGCCTGGGGCTCGACATATCGGCTTTGCAGCAGGCTGCCGTCCGAGCTGAGGTTGCACGGTCTCCTGCAGGAGGAGGCTGCGGCAGCTGCGATGCGCCGGGAGGAGGACACGTTGTTCAGGCCTTGTTTCTAGCTCCTACCATTCTTCGGCAGGCGCTTCTTCGTCCCGTGGCGAATCGTCACACCAAGTCCTAAGCTTGCAGCAGCTAGCCATCCGTGAGGAGCTAACTCTTGAACGTTGGCTCGAGGCGGCCACGGTAGCCATGCATGCTGACAAGATTCATACAGAACTTGGCCAGACATGGACTACTTGTTCTGCTAGGCCCGCACCAAAGCTGTGCAGGCCGCTGAGGACTTGCAAAATTCCGCTTGCGATCTAAAACACAGCATGAAGCAAGCAGTTTTGTATTCTGGGCTTGCGCGGTGGGTTTGATTGGGGAGATGTCGATGCCCTCGCAAAAGCTGGTTGCGCACTATTGTGTCGCAGGACGGCCTCCGAAACCTCTGCGAAAATCGCCAAAGGGAGCAGGCCCCGACGTTCCTGCATGCTTCGTCCCATCGTTCTTGAACTGCACTGAAGTTGGCTCGCGGAATTTCTGCTTGCCTCCAGAGAGCAGTGTTTGTCTGGAGCATACACTGGCAGCCAACGCGACATGCGCACATCGACGTATTGAGAGGCAGAGGAAGCAGCGTGGCGCAGCCGCTTCGTAGAGTCCTGTGCAGAAGAGGCAGCGGAGAGCTTGGGGAAGACTTGCCACAGGAGGAATAGAGCACCGTCTGCAGGGATGGATCTGGTCGTTGTCAGGCGAAGCTGGAGCAGCTCAGCGACCAAAAGTCTTGAGCCTGGTAGTGAACGTGCGTTCGCCAATCGCCAACCACTTGGTTCAGCGATGGAACTTGTGCGTCCATTACCACTCATTTTTTCTCAGCTGCTGCTACAGCGCTTGTGCCCCTGTCCTGAGGAAGCGCATGCGACTTCTGGCCTTCAAGCGTGAGGCTTGATGCCGGTGGGGGGACTGCCTGCTTGAGTAAGTAAGTAAGGACTCAGCCCTCTGCGACACCAGGCTGATGAACTGGTTGCCAAGCGCCGTGAGTTGCGGGAGGCTGGCATTGATTCTTCTCTGAAATTCTGTGGCAGGTCCTAGGGGAGGGTTGGGTCAGGCCGAGGTGGAGAAGGAGGAGTCCGAATTGCACCTCCAGAAGCTCAAGGACCACTCTTCATGGCAGATTCCAGGTTCCCATGCAGCTGTGGAAGCATTCGCGAGCGGCAGCCCCGACCTTCACCACAACAGTGTGGGAGGAGCAGGAGCAGTCCCGGATCCTGGAAGAAGAGAGGCAGAGCATCATGGATCAGCTTCGGCCGCGGGATTCGCGTCTTGCACCGGCGTCCCCCAAGTTTTCACTAGCACACCAGACATAGGCAAGAGGCGCTGAGAGCTTGTTGCTGCAGCTTCGCGTTGCAGGCGGAGGTTGTTGGAAATTCATGCTCGGGGTGGGTACGGCACCTAGGACAAGGGTGGCAGCGGCTTCGGCTGTTCAGAGCTGGCGTTCGAGCTTTGGGATTTTTTGGGGAGCTGGACAGGGAGCCGCGGTTTGGTTTGTTTCTGCATCCTCGGCCAGCATGGCAAAGCTGGGCTGGGCCTTGGTCGTGTTCGGGGAATGAACTCTGATTCTGAGGTTGCTGGATCGCCAGTGGTTCAGCGGCGCTGTGCGGTCCTCTGATGTGTGTGTTGCAGAAGCTATGCGGAGATGGTGCAGAGGAAAGGGTGCTTCTTTGGTTTCTACAGTGTTCCCTGCAGTTTGGGGTGCTAAGGTCCTGCCCAAGCAGCTTCACACCTTGGTGACGGCTGAGAAGTGTAGAAGCTAGCCTTGGACTCTGTAGACCGGGTGTCGCAAGTTGTTCGCACTAGTGTGTACAGAGCCGCAGTGGTGTGCAATGACATGCAGAACGACACTGTAGTCAAGTGTGGAGCTGGGGATCGCCACAAACAGGCAATCGATGCAGTCTGTCCAGACTAGCTGCAATGCGCTGCTCCGGGGTTGTGCTCATGTCCTAGATGCAGGTCACGGGGTGATTTCTGCGCAGTGTTCTGGTCAAGCTTTGCAGCTCACCTACCAGAATCCGTTCCGGTGGTGACTGGAAAAGACTTGCGGTGTCACAGCCTCAGGCCGTATGCTTCCGCTGTGTTGATATTATGAAATGGCTTCGTCAGCTGTGCCTTGTGCTTTGCAGATGGCCTAGGACGATGACGATTCGTTCTGACGGTGGGCCGGAGAGGTACGAAGTCTCTTCGCTGCAGTTCGCGAAGCCATGGGCCATGGCGGATTCGTTGGAAGGTCAGTTGTTAGGAAGTCTTCAAATCTAGAACTGAGCCTGGCTGCTTCGATGTCAACCCAGGTTCGATTTCCACAAATCGACGGCAAGCAGAAGACTTTGCCAGTCTACTCGATGCCTGTCATGTTCGACGGGTATCTTTCACCTTCGCAGACCTATGCTGGACATGAGGTTTGAGTCCAAGGACCAGTTGTGCACAGCCAATCATGACAGCCTTTTCCTGGAAGGCTGATGTGACAGGGTGAGAGTGTGATTGTGGCAGTCAGTGTCCGATCTGTTTCAAGACATGAAGAAGCAAGTGCAGAATGCTGAACCGCCAAGGTCATGGGTACTCCAACGAAGAATGGTGAGTTCCTGGAAGTTGAGCCTGGATACTACCTTCCCATGAAGCTGAAGGGCAAGCAAGTGCTGTTCAAAGCGGGTGCCTGTGGGTCAGGCCCCTTGAGTTCCGCGCAGCTCGTGCCGACTTGGCGCATCTTCAGCGAAACGCCGTCCAGATATCAAGGCTTGAGGTTTCGGAGCTCAATGTCCATGAAAGCGAAAGTGCAAGAATTGGCTTCGGTGCCATGGGGCTCGTACGTGCATGGTACCCAAGTCAATGAGGAATGGGTCAAGGTGACGCCGGGCCACTACTACCTTCCAATCTGGTTGTGTGGAAACAGAGTCATGTGGCCGGCCAGTGCAGAAGAAATGGGCCTTCAAGCCAAAACAGTCGGAGTGCCGGTGGAGGCTGAAGATGCGGTGTCTCTTCGCGTCCTCGCCCCGCGTATAACGGACGGTGATGCGTATCTGCTGAAGGCAGATTTTCTTGGAGGCTGGCAGCAGGCACATGTGCTGGACCCGTACAAGATTTGTCACCGAATCAGAAAGCCATGTTGAACCGCAGCGGAAAGTGGATTTTCAGTGCTCGCATCCGAGCTTCAGAAGTTGCTCAGAAGGAGATGCCACTTTTCAAGCTGGCGTTTCATGAGAAAACTGGAGTGTGGAATCAGATCTCCAACTTGTTCTACACGAAGCTGGTTTGGGAATGGAGTGGGATGAACAATCGCACACTTTGTCATGTTTGCCAAGCTTCAACTCAGTACCTCGTGTATGGCAAACCTGAACTTCAAGCACAGGATGTTGAGGAAATTCTTAAGATAGCCCTGGCAGCAGATGTGTCACAAGACTTGGCAGCAGCAAACAGGCTTGTTCGGGAAGTGGCGAACGGCATCTCGAATGTGTCCTGTGAGAGCCCATCACACCCGCCAGAAGGCTGGAAGGTCGAGAAATGCCTGGCAAAAGCACTCATGCAGGTACTCTCTGTATGCCACAACCCAAAGCCGTCAAAAGCTTATCTGCTTTGGGCTGCACGGCTTGAGCTGGACTCGAAGGGAGACCTGTCGCAATTTGATCGCGGTTTGTGTAGAGACCTCATCCCGGTCATTGCCGAGTCGGCTTCAGCACCGGATTGGGAATTACAAGTAGGATGGTCTGTCGTGTTGGAGCAGGCTTATTCACACAGGCCAGAAGCTAGATGGTTGCAGGCCGCTGCGCAGGTCTTACTGAGAAGTCCTGCAGATCTGTCAAGATACGAGGATAATGTTCTGCGCTGTGCTCATAGCCAAAGGAGTGGCAGGATTGATTGGGCGATCATTTCTTGTGAGAATGCCCTGCCGCAAAACTTGGGCTTCGCACTGAAGCTTCACACCCGCAGCATTCACGGGGCAACAGAGGTCATTCAGGCTGTTCGCGAAGTGCTGGGGTGCCTCGGCAATCGCAGCCATCTTCGGCGGATCTGCGGTTTGATTGGAGTGGAAGAGGCCGTGGATAGACTTGTCCAGTGCCAGCGCCACGACTGGTCGTGGATCCTTCTAGAACTTCCCGATTTCCTGGAACGTTTGGGCCACATCAGCTCGGACAGTGGTTTTCAATCAGAGGTTGTGAAACTCATGACTGGTGGTTGGCAGCTATGTGCCCGCAGTGGCCGCCAAACAGTTCTTCCGGACTTAAGCAACCTGCTGGAAAGACCGACGATGCTTTCTTCCAGATTGATGGCAGAAGCTTTGACAGCTACTGCGTCTATGGCGGCTCACGTGGATTTGCAATGTTTTGCAGGGACCTGCAGCTGGTTATGCTTGGCGGCTTTGTTTCATGAAAGCATGGATGCGGCCTCAGTGGCTTCCAGGTCTTGACTCCCCAGCCAGCAAGCCCAACGTGTTCATGTGAAGTAGCTTTAACAGATTTTAACATAAACAACATGTAGCAAAGCTGTTGCGTATCTGCTGAGGACCTCGCTAGGCTGCGAGAGGACAAATGGGTCACGTGGAGACGCGCTGTGGCGGACATTGCTCTCAATGCGGTTTCTTTCTATGCAAGGACTTCAGAGCAATTCATCCAGATGTCTGCGCGAGTTTTGTTTTCACTGCAGAAATCCTCTGAGTTGCAGAAGACGGCTTTCAAGACGCTCTGGAACAGGGGACCGCCGACTATTGAAAAATCGCCCAAGGGATGGGTCGTGGCACTGCTCCAGTTTGCAGATCACGAGCACATGGCCGTGGAAGCCTGCAGGGCCTTCTGTCTGCTGCACTTGCAGCGTGCTTTGGACTCGGCTCCTTCAAATTGGGACATTGTTGTGGAAATGATGCAGGACTGGCTGAGGGTGGCGTGTCATAGCCATAGCCGCAGCAGCATTGAGCTGGTTTTGCGTCGCATCCTGGCATGTGCTTGCGACAAGCCTGACGGGCCTGTAGACGGGCAGCTCGATCCCTCGACCCATCTCCCTCCATTCTGCTACGACTTCCAATTTGACTGGGGTGTCGTGCTACCCGTGTGGAGTCACGGGGCAGTGAGACCCGAGACGCTCGTTCGTCATGCCAGTACCTGGACATCCGTCCTTGCAGTTGCCGGTTCCTATAAGCTGTCACACCTGTTGGCTCCGCTCAAGTCTTCACTGCAAAAGCTTTCTGATCAGCTGGCCGACTCCAGCCTCACACTGCAGGTAATGCTCTCCATGGCTCCTCTCGAGCGATGGAGGGCAAGCAAGCTGACAGATCTGCTTCAGGCTGCCGCGCATCCCGTGGCCAGCGAACATCTCGAAGACTTATTCGACAAGGCCCGCTCTGGGAAAAAGCCAAGCTACGCCAAGTCAAATGCAGTTTGCGGTAAATAGTCACTGCCATGTAGCAGCAGCATCTTTCATGTTCAAGAGACCGAAGGTGGAGTTCATGTTGAATTTCGAGAATGCGGTGCTGCACAAATTGCCGTGTCTCTTCCCGAGGCGCAAAAAAACAGCGGTGGAGTGTGCAAAGCTTTTGCACAAGCTCTTCCTGCACCAATCAGCCCAATTCTCTGGGCAAACATGCCTGGTCAGAGAGCTCCGAGTTTCCGTGGGCGATTTGCGATGCGGCTGGACGGAGGAGCTGAATGGAGAGCAACTGGACCTGCCTGCTGGTTCGTCACGCCCGAGCTTCCAGTCGCTTCTGGACCTGGTGTCGACACTGCATCTTGTCAAATCCGGCGCGCACAGACCGTTGAGCTCGATTCTACAAGAAGTCGAGTCGGGCATTGCCGCAGAAGAAGCGTCGTCGCAGAGTTTCTTGGCATACCTGTTGCTCGTTCATGCCAGGTTCACCGATATGCTGCAGACTCTTCTACAATTTGGCGCAGGTAATGCCGGCGGGATCCCAGCACACATTCTCTGCAGCATCGAGAAGCACTGGAGTGGCGTGCCAGTCCAGGCAGTTCAGGAGGTTTTTCGCGACCTGGCCTGTTCGTCTTCGGCACCCTGCTTTGTCGGCGACTATAGCAAAGTCGCGACGCGGATCGAAGCTGTTCTGCTGGGCAGGCAGACGTCGCTATTCTGGAGCCGCTGTAGGCAGATACAACATGCTATCTGCACAGCGTCTGCCGGAAAGGTCGGCAGGGGTCAACAAGGTCTGTCTGACGGTTTGCAGCAGCTTGAAAGTGCCTTGGGAAAACTAAAGGCAGCGTTTGAGGCTGCCGCGAGTGGCCAGCAGGTCGCTTTGAGCACGGAGGATTTGGACCAAGTTCGAAATGCCGTGGAGATGACACAGGAGCTCTTTGCGTTCTTGTCGCATAGGGGAGCGGATGGCTTCGACATGATGCAGCGCCTCGTGCAAGCCATGACGGACATACCAGGCCTGGCATTCCTTGGCCTGCTGGTCACGAAGAGGGAGCAGTTGAGCACAAGGCTGGCGGAGCTGGTGGAAGGAACTCTGACTCCAGAAACCTTGGATGCAGTGGAGCAAGCGGCGGGCTTTTTCATGCCCATGTGCATCGGGGCTCTGCGCGTCATGGACCAAGATGTGGATTCCCGGCGCTTTGAGACCGTGGCCACGTACTGGTCCGAAGACATACGGAAATCTGCGCTGCAGACGCGCAGCATCTACGGCCTGGGGGAGCTGGTGCTCCGGATGCTAAATGAGGCTCACTCCCGCTTTGGAGCGAAATTACCTGAGACCCTGGAGAGCTTGCAATCCGCTTTGCGGCAGGGTCAGGTTGTTCAGCACAAGCTGCAAGAGAATGACGACGATGCGACAGCGGTCAGCAACACCGTCCATGGGCTGATGAATTCGGGGCACTTCGTGCTTGAGGCCAGTGGGGATTCACAGAGCTTGGAGGTTACTGCCTTTTTTGACTTCAACGGACAGAAAATCTATCGAGACATGCAGCAACTCACTGAGTGTGCGGACAAGGCTCGGCTTGCCATGCCGCAGAGTGGTGCTGGCGACTCGGAAAATGTTGACGTTTTCACCAGCTGCGTGGAACGTGCCATTGGCCTGCGTCAAGAACTCCTGGAATTGCTGCAGATCGGCCATCCACACAACCACGAAGGACGAACACTGGAATTCCCGTCGCAGGGTGCGGGTCTCTCAAGGGCAACCCTCCGTGAGCTGGACGAAAGGCTGAAGTGGGCTCGGGATGCTGTGCTGCGATGGCGACAAGCCCTTGATGCTGTGCGTGCTGAATGTGCTCTTATGAGTTGCATCCCAGCTAGAAATGCTGTCAAGCTTGCAATCGCGATCATCGGTGGTGAGTGGACCCGACTTCCTTCCCTCGTGTCTCTTTCGATCCGTGCTGCCATGCCAGACGGAATTGCGCAGCAGCATTTAGAGGACTTGTTCTTAGAGTGCCAGCGTCGCACACCGAAGGATGGGGCATTTGAAGAATTCCTCGCCGAACTTGGCAGGTGCCTCGCAAATTTCGTTGAAGCAGACATGGTGCAGCTGTCGCCGCTACACCAGGTTGCCAAAAGGTATCCAAAAACACGTTTAGCAGAAGATGCCACTCAAAAAAGCAGAATGTTGAGGCGGCAGAACCCTCAGATCTATCCGAGGCGAGTCCTTCTGATCCAAGAAGAAGTGTCTCACGAAAAAGCAGGGTCACCTCTCCAAAGCACGGCCTCAGTCACCTTGCTTTCTGCGATGTTGTCACTGGGCGTGGGCCCAGGGCCTGAGAATGTTCTTCACTGCGATGCCACCACGTTGAAGGATGATGTGCTCAGGTTCCTGCAAAGAGTGAACCATGCAACGCAATTGGCCAGTGCGACAGGTTGTCAGTCCGAGGTGGTTGGTGTCTGTGTGCAGGTGGATCGTTTGGCCCACGATGTCCTGCAAGTGCTTCTGAACAGAGTTCATGTATTGCATGAGGCTGCAGGCAGACGTCGAGAATCCGGTAGAGGTGCAGACGTCGAAGTTCGCTTGGTGTTCACCTTGACGCGGCATGCTCTCAAGCTCATGATCGACACCCTGGAGAAAGATTTGTGCAAGCAGCAGCCGATCAAGCTCCTGACCCATGCAACACTGAAGCGCATACTCTCAGATGCCGACAGGTGTCTGTGCTGGCACAGGGTCGTATCGCCCGACATTGCTGGGAATGGCAAGACGCATCACATCATGAACCATCCAGAGTGGGACCGTCAATCCAACGCCACACTGGTTTGGGGTGGTGCGCAAAGTCGCGGGCAGGCGGCTCTTCAGTTGAAGAAGGCCATTGCTACAGGTGCTCGCTGCTTGCACTTGGAGCTCCACCCTTTCGAGGAGGGTGGCGGCGTGAACGTGGACTTGCTCGTTGCCGAGCTCTTTTTACACGGCAGAGTATACGATCCTACGACAAGCGAATGGGCAGTGCTTCGTCCGGGCACGAAGCTTTTCGTAGAGGTTGCCAACTCCATCAAGGTGAGGCTGCAAGCAAACTCTGCGGAGTTGACGCCCTTGACGTTCCTGTCAGCTCCCCTGCTGAAAATGGTGCCGGGACAGTTGTGCGTCTCGGCGGATGTTTCCTTTCAGTTTGATGGGACAGATCTGGATCCAGCGACTGCTTCACCCCAAGCGCTGGATTTCAGCCTTGCTGGCTCAGCATTGCTTTTGAATGACCTCCGATGCACCACGAACCTCTTTGGGAGTGAGGAGGAGATTGTTGTTTTCAAGCAGACCGCCTCTGCAGTAGTCAGCGGCCGCCACACGGAGCTGCTCCAAGACCGCGCAGCAGATGTTGTTCAAGCAGCAGGGTCAGCTCTGCGCAGGGCGCGCGACAGCGTTGTGGATGAGTCCGCAGACGACTTTCTGGTACCCTCCAAGGCGACCATCAACACCTTCCTTCGCTTCCTAGCAGAGTGGACTGCCAAGTGGGCGAACCAGCTCCGCAACTTCCAGCTTACCTTCGATCAGGATCGGAAGGTGGATCCGCCAAGCATTTTCATTCCGGTCCTAGAGGAGATGATTCGCATGGCAGCCGGGGTTTGCCTTCGATCTGCCGCTGCAGAGGCACAGGAAGAGCAGACCCGCGACAAGCTCACCCTGAGCCAAGGTGTGAAGGAAAACAGTCAGGCCACGGCATTGCAAGAGGCAATGGCTGGACGAGTTGTGGATGTTCGTTGCGTTGCGACCGCGGCTTGGGCCTTCAACTCAGGAGATTCTTTGCGCTTGATTGGCAGCGCGTGTGATGTGCCCAAAGCTCTTCAGAACCTGTGGCATGCCTACAACCAGGGGGTGCTCCGGATGCTTGGGGAGAGAGGCAAGAGCCACACGATTCAGCCACCGCCTGTGAACTTGGCCAGTTCAAGCCAGGCTGAGATGAAGAAACTGCTGCTTCAAGTGATGTCTGACCACGGCATGTCCGATGCTCAGCTTTCCGATGCTTTTAATGGATTCGTGCTAACCCCCGACAACATGATCAAGCTCGTGGACGTTGCGGAGCGCCTCCGCGCTGGCCTTCCGTGCATCCTAATGGGCGAGGCTGGCTGCGGGAAGACGGTGCCCTGGTTTGCAGTTGGGATGAGCCGAAGTATAGCAATGAACATCTCCACAAGTTCACAACCTTCGAAAGCTTGTTTTCCCAAGGTGCTCCTGCGACTGACGGCGCAACTGCTTGGGGCTGGCAAGCTGAACGAGCATTCAGTGCATGCAGGCACTTCAGTTGAAGAGATCTTTGCAGTTTTGAATGAAGCGGAGGCAATGGCCCAGACCATGGCCCAGACAGGCAAGCATCAGATGGTGATTCAGTTCTGGGATGAATTGAACACGTGTCCACATCAGCCACTCTTCAAGCAAATCATCGTCGACCGAGTAAATCCCAGCACTGGCCGGTCCATACACAAGTCAGTCACATTTGTTGCAGCTTGCAACCCGTGGCGCTATGCACAGAGCCAGGCCATGTCTGCTGGCTTTGAAAGTCCACCTGTGGCCGAAGATCGTCTTGCCGGGTTGGCCTACCGTGTGCACCCGCTGCCAGAGAGCCTGTTCGGGCATTTGTCTTCTTTCGGCCAGCTTGATTCCGCGACCGAGGCTGAGTATGTTGAGAAGATGGCAGAACGAAGCCCAAGTGTGCTGGATGCGGATGACAAGCCGCTCAAGCCTCCAGCGACGAGTGGGAGAATCTGTAACATCGTGGCTTGCTGCGTGAAGGTGGTGCATGCTTTCTTCCGAGAGCGGCTCACGTTGACTGCCTCCTTGCGAGACCCCAACCGTTTGCTGAGACTTTGGTCCTTCATCCGTTGGGAGTGGCAGATGCGAGGGCTGAATTTCACAGGTGCGGATCTGGAAAAGCGGGATCTTCAGTCCTTGATGCTTGCCATCCACCTCTGCTACGAGCTGAGACTTCCAAGCATGGAACTTCGTCAGCAACTCGTGGCCGTTCTCCTTGCCGACTCGCAGCTAGGCGACTGCTTGCTGCAGCATTTCCATGACCAGCTTGAGGACGAGCAAAGCCGCCTGGATTTATGGCAAAATGTCGTGCGGGAGGAGGAAGATTACTGGCTTAATGCTATCAATGTGCCGGACAACATCGCCAAGATCCGTGCATTGAGGGAGAACGTTCATGCCGCCCTCATGTGCTCGATGACGAGGACGCCCATTTTCATCCTTGGCAAGCCTGGATGCTCAAAGTCGCTGACAGTATCCCTGCTTGTAAGTGCGCTCACAGACCCCTATTCCGATGAGTTGAAGCACTTGGCAAGCTTCAGTGTTCAGCCGTACCAGGGGAGCCGTCAGTCGACATCCAACTCCTTGCTGCAAGTTTTCGACCGCGCTCTGAAGCAGCAGGAGAAGCTCCGGAAGTTGAAGCGGCGAACGCGACCTTTGGCATTGGTCTTGCTAGATGAGGTGGGGCTTGCGGAGCAGAGCCCTCACAACCCACTCAAGGTGCTTCACTCTCGGCTGGAGCCCCGGAAGCCGGAGCAAGCCGTGTCCGTCATCGCGATCAGCAACTGGGAGCTGGACAGATCCAAAATGTCAAGGGCCCTCACCTTGGCATGCCCCCCAGCCTCGGAATCGGATCTGCAAGAGATCGCACTGGCCATCATCCGAGCATACCTGGCCCACGACACCCAGATCCGACGCCAGCTAGAGGCCAACTTGGAGCACATCTCCCGGGCCTTCATGGGGATTTTGCAGAGCCAGCAGCCCAGTGATTTCCATGGTCTCCGAGACTGGTATGGCATGTGCTCCTACGCTGCACGCCTGTTGCTGGCAGCGGATGACGCCATGGAGCTGGTCTCCAAGGAGGCATCACAAGGTGCACTCATGAAGGCTGTGTCTGATGCGTTGACCATTGAAGCCAGACAGCTTGTGGAACTGTGTCGAGACAGGGAGCTCAAGTTCGTTCCAGCTGATTGGGCCTTGCAAATGGCGGTCTACAACAACTTCAGTGGAAACAGCAGGCACTCGGACAATGGCCAGATTGTGGACACGCTCAGCACCATGCAACAAAGCGTGCACGCAGATGAGGCTCAGGCTCAGTTCGTTCCGTCACTCGCACAAGTGTTGCCTCACTCCGCCACGACTGTTAATCGGCTGGATTCACTGTTGGGCGATGTGGACGGCCGCCACATCATGGTAATCACAGACTCACCAGTCCCGGTGATTGCTTGGATTGAACACCGTGCACGCACTGTTGCCAATTGGAATCCAGAAAGTCTTGTAGGCAGTCCTCTGGAGCAGGATCGAACAAGCACGGACATGTACGCACAGAGCATGATTCAAGCCGCGATTGTTAGCATTGCGCAAGAACGGCGACTTCTCATTTTACAGAACCTGAGCATAATCTACGCGGCTTTGTACGATGTGTTCAATTCGAACTATTGCCGGGCTGGTGGTGACGGCCAGAGGTACTGTCGAATTGCACGAGAGGGGTTCTGCAACCCTCGGTGCGCTGTCGCTGAGCAATTCAAAGCGGTTCTTGTGGTCACTCGGGAGCGAGCTGCCGAGTACGAACCTGCATTGCTCAATCGCTTTGCAAAGCTAGAGGCCGATGCCCCAGAAATTTCGCATGGCTTGCAAGGACCTCACAGTGTGTGTATGCATGTGTATCTCATTTAAGTAGTTGTTTCGAGTGTGCAGCAGGGCTGGGCGGCCGGACATGCAGTAAACATAAAGTTGAAGGGCCGCTGCAAAGCCTAGGTGGACCTGTCAGATCTTCTGCCCTCGAAAAATGTTTCTGTGGAGTGGGAGGAGCATGTCTTTGACCTCTTCCCACGCTTGGGCGGTGCTGAGGGCATGCCACAGCACTTGCTGCCCACAGATGTCATGGCTGCTTGCCCCATGGATCCTACACAGCCGGACTTGACGAGCCTTTTTGACATGGTTGCGCTGTCCGCAAACATGCGTCGTGCTGACACGGCTGATTCCGTTGATCCACAAGGCCGAAGCAGCGTCGAGGAGAAGGACGCGGTACTGTTTCCACTGCTCTCCTTGGAGTACTCGATGGGTCATGGTGTTCGAGGCAAGCCAGTGAGCAGCCCGAGCACGCATTTTGGGGAGCTGCTGAGCCAGACATGCACCGAGCTCGGCATGGACCGTGAGAATTCAGCCATCATCCCCATGTTGGTCCCGACGTTCAGCGCCATCAGCCAAAGGCTTGAATGTGAAGCAGTGCCACTGATCGAGGACGGATTGAAAATTTTCACCGAAATTCAGATTCACAAGACAGTGTCTGAAGGCATGTTTCAGGAGAGTGCAAAGGAGCATGTGGACAAGGTGGCGCATGCCTCTGGACAAGGAAGAGTGCTATCAGCCCTGCACGTACATCTCAGCATGAAGCAAGATGATGCTGCAGACATTCTGGATTATCTCCGTTTCCAAATCGAGTGGGTCGCACGCGAGATACAGAAGCGGCTTGAGACGGGCAAACTTTGTCCTGGTGTGCATGTGTTGGCTCTCGTTGTCCATGGTGTCAGAGGTAGTCCTGATCTTTGCATGCGGCCTTTCTTGCTGGCGGGGCCAGTAGACGCTCAAATGCGAGGTGCCAAGGCTGAAGTACATCCTTGGAGAGGTGCATCTGTCGATCACTTCTCTCACTTGCTACCATGGGGAATGCAGTCAGAGGTGCTTGCTCATGGAAGCATCAGAGACATCTTCGGCTTGGAAGAAGCGGACGTTGATCGTTTCCGTTTCGTGCTCGCGGATGCATTGCCACATGTCGTACCTGGACTATGCCAGGGAACGCAAATGGCTGACAGTTTCTTGATCATACAGAGCCTCATGCAAGCCATCAACCGCAAACCGGACCTTGTGCGAGCTATTCGCTCCGTACTTGCAGCAGAGCTGTCCCAGGAGCAGGCGACGCCCGGACGTTGGACAGTAGGAGGAGTGGTCAGGTCAGCCGGGTGGGGCTTGCCTGGCTGGGCTGCCAGTCAGTCAGCAGCAGCAGGAGTCGGAGTTGGAGCCGTTGGAGGAGTAGGAGCAGAGGAAGAGTAGTAGTGGTGGTTGTGGTGGTGGTCGTGGTGAGTAGTAGAAGAACAAGAAGCAGTTGCAGCAGCAGTAGTACTAGGGCTGTTGCGGCACCTTGCCGCCGGCAAAAGGGTCTGCCTGAGTTCAGAAGCAAGATTTTGGCCGGAGAGGGGACGGATATTGATCAAGCTCAAGCTTGACACGCGCTTTATGGTCGGAGTGGGAGGGGTGGAATTCCTGTTCGAGTTTGAGTTCGGGTGGGCAGAGTGGCAAGGTGGGTGGGCTGCACAAGTTCGAGTTTGATCATTTGTTTGGTCGCAGGGGGTGGGTGGAACCGATTAAAGTTGAGAAGTTGGTATCGACGGATCCAGGAGCCAGCAAGCAGCTAGTCACTGAATGCCAACTTAACTGCCGACAGCGTATGTAAGCTTCGTTTGCAACGGCCTCAAGGTTCTTCATGGCACCCCATCATCGTCCACAAACAGAATGGCTGGGGCAGAGTCGGGTAGAACTCCAAGTGTCAAGGCGAGAAGGGACTTACGAAAGATAGCTCCTCAGAACATGGTCGTGCACAAGCTCTTGCATCGGACAATCGACCCTTTCACCCGAGCTCATGGTTAAGCTCGAGACGGATGTGAAGTCGCCACCGAGCTCAAGTCGATTTGTGTTCGAATCCACAAGTGTTAACAAGTGTAGTCTCCAACAGTGCATGACGTTGAGCCATGCCATATGCGTTTACATGCGTTTGTGTGTCTGTGTGTGTGTGTGTGTTGAAGCCTGGTGGGGAGACAATCCAAGACAATCCACAAGAGATCCAATCATGCTCGAATCCCGTTTGCAGAAATCTGTTTTCCACAACAAACCCCGAAGGTTGTCTACGTATCTGCATTTGCACTCCTGACTGTATGATGAATATCAATATCGTTCAGCATGCACAATGCCCTATCTGCCATGCAGGTCCATTGGCGTGGCAAAGTGTCTGAAGATGTCGCTCTTCTGCGGCGCACCGGTTCTTTCCAGCTGGCGCTGCTCTCACACCTGAGGCGAGATGACAAGGCCGGTTTCGCAGGGCGACAGAGACTGCGAGTTTTCAACAGGCAACAGCGAAAAGGCAAGTACTGTGAGTTGACAGTTGGCCCGACCGCTTGTGTGCTGAGGTGAGGCCGGTCGTGGAGGCTGTCTGGCATCACAGCCTGCACACCAGCTGTCCGGACCAGGATGCCCATGATGTTCAGAAGACATGGTGGCAGCCAGTTGCCGAGTCGCTGCTCAATGAAGCCTTGAGAGCCGAGGGAGGCAATCTGACAGAAAGCACCTTGGCCGTGCAGCAGCATTCTGAGCTTTGGACACTGCGGATGCCGGGCAGCCCGTGCTTGATGCATATGTTGTTTTCACAGATTCTGGGCTTGGGCAATCAGGGAAATCAACAGGAAGACTTTCTTCTGATTGTTCGTGATCGTGCAGACAAGCTTGCCCAACTGATGGAGCGCTGCTTGCCAGAGCCTCTTTGGAGAGCTCTGCAGGAAGCTGGCAAGTGCATGCACTCAGGTGGTGTAGGTCTCCTGGGCGAAGATGTTGTCGCGGAGGTAGCGTCGCGCGCATGTGAGAGCTTGGCAGAGTGGCCGGGCTACATTGTGTTCAAGTCAGTTCGTGTCCATCTCCATGTCTTGGTCTCTGAACTCACAGCTCGCCTCCTAGCATCGATGCCTGATGTGGAGCATTCCGACGACTCCCAGGCACTTGTGGCGTTGTGGCCTGCAGTTGCAGCCAGCCTGCTCCTTCCAATTTCAGAACAGGTGGCGAGCTTGCAGCTGCGCTTTCCGTCAGAGCGACATCAGCACTGGCAAGATGTTTGGATACCGTTGTGCCTTCCTCTACCTTCTCCGATCACATGGGACAGCATTCGGCTGAGGGGAGTTGGTGCAGCTCTGCAGCTGCACGCGTCTGTACTTGAAGCATCCATTGATGGCAGTCTCATTGCTGCGGAGGACTTGTCTGAGGGTCTGCAGTTGCTCGCGCAGCTATGCGTTGTGGTTGAGCAGTTTGCTGGTACTGCGCACTGCCCGGATCTTCGCAGGACTGTCCCGCATGAATGTCTCACCCTGCTGGGATCTTCTGTCCGTGCTCCATGCTCGAAATTTCTCATTCCCTCGTCGATGTAAGTGCAACAAGTTGTTACAAAATGCCAAGGTCGGACCTGCAAACATAGAGTTTCAGATTGGATTTCCTGTTCTCTCGAACGGCATGTTGTGTGGTCTGATGTGGTCTGTTTTCTTTCTACTGCTTATTGTTGTCAATGCTCGCTTTGCATGAATTCTCGTTCCCGCGCGACTTCTCTGATGACAGCATGGGGTTTCCTGAAGATTTGACGCAGCTTTGACATCTGCTTTCCTTGTCGCCTTTGCATGTTGCCACCAGCCCTCTTTAATAGCTTCCTGCAGTTTCCAGGACAGCAGTCACCAGCTACATGCTGGCATCTGTCTGCCTGGAGTCAAACATGACCGTCGAAACCATTTGGAAGCACATGAGGCGCCTTGGCCATGGCTGGGCAGGTAGCGCAAGGTTGCATGTAGAGGGGAGATGCCCTGCTAGGCAAGCACGTGATGGACACCTGGTGGCCACGTTGGCTGAGCTGGTGCAAGTCCGCGATGTTCCCCCACAAGCTCCTCTGGCAGGCATGTGCTACGCCATGAACTTGATGAACCGTGCGGCCGCGGTGAATGAAGATGCGCTCTCATCGGTTATGTGCATACTGGGTGCAGCGATACGCCGCTTTGACTACAACTTTGAGGACTTGCAGTGCATCAAGACCTACCTGCAGCAGATAGCTGGGTACTTGATGGGGCATGTGATTCAGGCTTCATGGCCATCTTCCATCAAGTGGGGCAAGGTAGAAGGCGTGTGCCAGAGGGTGCTGGAAGAGTTTGAATTGTTGATCGTCGGACCAGACGAAGTCAGGGACTCAGCTCTCGATGTGATGGCCCTTCTGGATGAGCATCTGCCCCCAACTCCTGGGATGATCCACCGATGCAGCGGTTGCCAAACTGTATGGCTAGACCCAGAAGATGCGAGGTGTCCGAGCTGCGGCCATGCGCTGGACCTGCTTCCTGCCGGGGCTGACGAGCCAAAGCAGGGGCCGGGGTGGGACACACCATTTGTGGCTTGCTTGGCAGATGCCTTGTCCACAACTTCGCACCTGAGCTCAGTAGTCTCTTGCCTGGTGAGACACGCAATCCAAAATCCGAAACCTGAAACCAAGCGGCGTGCCGCCGAGATGCTGGAGAGGGCTCTTCGTTTAGTCCAGGACGCCCTCCAAGCCCCAAGCCCTTCTCGGTCTCGACGCTTCATTGCCCTCGTGTTGATGCGGGACTTGGTTGCAAACAGTGTTGAGCTGGTTGAGAGCAAGGATGAGGAAGGTTTGGACTTGGACAATGTTCTGACGCATCTGCTCCATGTCTTACAGATGGCGGTGGGCAGAGACTTGCCTCCTGTTGCACCTGAGTCGCCTGTTCAGCTATGCACTTTTCAGGGCATTGGTCTTGGTGCAGCACAGCTCCCAAGTCCCCTTGCTTCGCTGTATGTGATGGCGGCAACCTTCCGAGCCAACCCAATCCCCACAGGTATCGCTGTGCGCCAGCTCTTTGAACTCGCTGCCGACAGAGCAGATGATCAGGAGCTCCACCGTTATCTGACTAGCTGCCAGGCTGAAGCGTTGGCATCCTCCAATTCACTGGGCCTTTCCGTTCTGCTGCCGGGACATCGTGACGACTTCGTCCAACGACTTCTGGTTGAGCTGCAAAACCTGGCACAGGAAGACCGCGCTCAGGCTGCTGCCGAACGATTTAGCGCGCTTTGTGCCCAGAAGCGCAACGACTTCCGAGGGCTCGTGCAGTGCATGCGCGCAGTTGGGGAGATTGCATGCATGCAGCGCTCTGCAGTGGATGACGCGAGTGCCGACCAGGCCTACGCCATCTGCAATCGACTTCCTCAAGAAGCGCTGGGCCCGGCAGCCGTGCTTTTTGCTGCTGCTGCAGGGGACGATGATGTGCAAGAGACCTTCGACTGGAATCGCGACTTGCTCGACATGGATTCAGAAGATGCAGTGCCGTGGCGGAGTTCGGTGATTGCGCACATATTGTGTTTTTTGGGAGCCGCCCATCGAAGCATCAACACTGGTTCTGTACCACCCGGCCTCGAGCCCTTCCGTCGCTTCCTGGATCTGGACCAGCAGGCCTTGGGAACAACTTTCTGGCCAGGACTGCCAGACAGCTTTTGGCAGGCCTTGAGGTACGCAGGATTGCACAAGCACGGTCTGCCGACAAATGCTAACATTGCCTGGGCTCAGTGCGAGTGTGGTTACCGATACTGCTACGGAAATTGTGGGGCGCCCACCTCTTCCGGCCCGTGCCCCAGCCCGAACAGCACAGAGTGTCAAGGTGCTTGTACCCGACACAATGGCGGTCGAGGGCACAAGTTTTGCCCGGGACAGCGGCTCATAGCCATTGTTGCAACAGCACCCCCACATGGTATTGGCTGGCCACCCATTTATTCCGACATGGTCAGGGACTTTCCGGCAGCTGTCCAATACCCGGCGCCACGGCCAGGGCTGTTTGCACTCACAGAAGCAGACGAGAGCATCTCCGTCAAGCGCGCGACCCGCGCAAGTGTGGCGCACAGCCTTATGACGGAGACTGTTCGACAGGACTGGAACCAGCCTTTCGGCAAGCCGCCACCGCCAGAGTCCGGCCTGCGACCGGTGACGTTCCGAGTGCTCCACCTTCTGGTCCATGCCAGTGCCCTGATCGGCGTTGGCTTGGAGTGGGCCCAAGGTCAGGCCAGCATCGTCGACCTGCTCCAGGCGCATTTGCGCGATGAAGCGAAGATGAACTGCGCAACCAGGCTGTGATTCTCATTCAATGAACCCAGCAGAACCGAGCTCCAACAGCAATGCAGTACTGGTGAGGGGTTTCCGGGCTGTTGCAGCCAAGGTCCGCGATAAGGACGACACGGTGTGGTATTTCATGGCGAATGTGGAAGGTGATCTTGCCGCCCTTGCAAAACAGCTCAACAGCACTGTGGAGGTGGGCTTGAATTCTAGTTGGGCTGGTGTAAGCAAACCAGAAATCGGGATTGAGTGACATGACGCTTGCGCACTCGAGCTGTAAGCCTGACGTTTGCCAAACGTTTGCCAGGTGGCCGCCCTTTTCGTGCACGCGATTCTCCACAAGTTGGGGGATGCTGACTTGGCCCAGCCAGCTGCCGTGAACTTTACCAGCCCAGATGGGCGAAATGCATACGAGTCGTGGTTTGATGCGAACGTGGTCTTGCCGGTCCTCGGATCCCAGAACAGCTCTGGTGGCTTTTCCCTGCCGGGCGTCCAGGCCTTGCGCAGACTTGCAGGCCACGCCAGAGACCCAACAGTGGTGCTGTCCACTGACTTGCTGGCCCGAAGAGCGCCTCCGAGCGAGGCATGGGATCAGATGAACGTCCACGTGCGAGCGGCCCTGCTTCCCCATGTGCTCAGGCCACCAACCTACCCGGATGCTGAGTCCACCTACGAGGAACTGGTGAAGGAGGGTCAGGCTGCTTCCCTTGTGATCCTGCGCTTGGTCATGGCTGGAAGAGCCGAGGAAGGCGCGTGGCCAATTCAGAACGAGCTCATGCGAGCAGCGGGCCTTGCATGGATCCTGCCGTTTATGCGGCTGGTCCGTGAGAAGGAGGGAGGCCACATCACCATGAGGGAGGCGAGAACCATCACCATGAGGGACTGGCTTGAAAAGCAGCCCAAAGGACCCGAACATGAAAGAGCTTGGGCACTTTACCGTGATTGTGAGGCTGCTTGGAATGCAGCCCTTTCAGATGGCAACATACAAGACGGTTGTGGTCGCCTTACCCTTCCAAAGTGGTCGTTGAGTTCGCCGCTTGCCCTTGCTTGTCCGATGAGCGAGCCGGAGCCGTTGCAGTTCGGGGATTTTACTGTTGGCGGTGGTTATCCTGATCCTGCGGAACACTGTGCAGGTGTTGGTCTGCACGAGCTCGCTTTGAATCACAACAAGGTTTTGACCCAGGTGAAGACCTATTTGCAGGGACGTGGTGCATCCCATATCCAAGCCCGTCTCCACAGCACAGAGAAGTTTCTTACAACTGCAGAGCGCAGCGAAGGTGGGGAGGGCAAATGCTTCGCAGAGAGCTCAGAGGCGCCGATCCTCCTCCTGCAGCAGGCCACGGTTCCGGACTTGCTCGTGCTACCCGCCCAACTTCACGACGCGTGCACACCGTTGGTGGAGGAGGAGCTCAACCCCGAGCACGAGCCTTTCCCGCAAAAGAAGCTGCTGTTGGACTACCAAGTCAGCAGCCTGCTCGAGAGATTCTACCAGTGCCCCTGGTCGGCAGACGGTCGAGCAAGGGGGGGTTACGATTTCCTGTCGATGGAGCAGGACTTGGCTTTGAGGCTGGTTGCAGGTCGCCGGCCACTCCAAGTGTGTAGCCAGGAGCAATGTTTGAAAGAAGTTGTGTCTGTTTGAGTTGAAGGACTTGTCGCTACTAAACACAGGTGTCTTTGAATGGATGCCTCTTCTTGGCAGGATCACAAGGAGCTACAGGCCGACATTGAAGACTTCCCCTACCGCATTTACCACGGAAATGTGACTGTTCGGATTTTGAACCGAGTCAAAGTCGATTGCCGTCGACTCGCCCCTCAAATCTCATTGAACAATGCCTTGAGTGTCCAACGGGCAGAAGAGTTGGAGGCCTCCTTTTTCCGGGACTCGGCCAAGGCCTTGGATGTCAGCAAAATTACCGGCGACTTGATCGCCTTGCTCTTGGGTGCCCGTTCCTTGGTTGGTATCATTCGAGGAGACATGACCCTCCGTCAGTTTGTAGAAGTGTACACTCTGGCAGAGAGCTCATGCATCGACAACAAGTCAGAAAGCCACCCAGATGCTTTGATGCGCATTGTCACTTGGTTGCGGATGGAGAAAATCCTTTGGCATTCTCGCTTGTCGGATTCCTTAGGGTGAGAGCGGCAGCGGGCTCCTTACTACTGGTAAAAGAAAGTCTGTGAGCCAACCTTTGGAATTGCTAATTAGGGTTGTGCTGCTGTTGGATCCTGACACTACTGTGCGAAGTAGGATGGTAGCTGGCCCTTTCCAGGTCAACATGCAGGACATTGCAGAGGTTCCGCTAAGTGCCCTCGTGGCGCTGCACTTGCTCTCTCGGGATCTGCTGGCCATGATGCACGGAGTAAGTGTTCGGTGTTGGGATGCAGAGGACGCGGCTCTTCAGCGTTCCAGAAGCGACAAAGTGACAAGTCTTTCATCCCGCATGATGTTGTGCCGGGAAGGACGAGTGGGTGGACTCAAGCGATTTGCCCCCAGAGCTGGACTTGTGGCTGGACACACTTCAGAAGGACCATCCCGAGGCCGCTTTTCCATGAACTGCCTTTTACGTGTCCTCCATGTTATGTTGGAGAGCTGTCAGGTCCTGATCTGTGTTTGCCGACTGATGGCTCGGGTGTTGTACCTGAGCTGCGAGAAGCCGCTCGCCACACGTCGACCTCACGATGCCGACTATCGACAGCCGCCGATGATTGCGCAGCTGGTGGTGGGCATGGATGTTGTGGAGGAGCTTCGAAATTCGAACCCTTTTACTAGGATCATGTCCGCAGAATCCCAAACCTAAGAAGCACCTCCCCAGAAATGCGCTCCACGTGTTGTACACGGTGTCAACTTTGTGCAGCAAGGACAAAAATCTGAAGCAGGAACACCAGCAGGAGCCACATGGCCACACCGAGCCTGCTATCCAGACAGGAGCTGCCAGCTGTTTGCGTTGGCGAGGCAGAGCAGTATGCAGCAACTCGGAGCAATCGGTCCCGAGCTACCCTGCAGCTCACAGCCGATGAGCAGATTCCATTCTTAAAGTTGGGGCACAGGAGTGTGTTCGGTCAGTCTTACTTCATCGGACCAATGGGGTCTGTTTCACAAAGAAACCACGTGTATCTGTGTCCCAATACTTCAGTGTATGCTTCTCTTGGCACCGATGCTACGGGTGTGCACCAGCGACGCTTACAGAGGAAGTCACATGCAAAAAACTTCCATACTGTGCAGTGCTGAGGACCAGCCGCTTCCATTAACTCTTCAACATTGGAACGACTGGGAGCCAGGTCATACACTTGCAGCTTTCAAGAAATGTCGCAACTCGGCAGGAGAGCTTATGTTTAGGTCGGGAAAGCGGGTCACCATCGTGGCCCCGTCGGACGCAGGGGCCTTCCCTCTATCCACTCGGGCCCGGTCGTCGCATGTCATGGCGTTGCTTGATCTGCTGTCGCCACCTCGTCATCACGAGCAACATGCAGTTTCCAAGCACTCCGAGTCAATAGGAGCAGCAGTGCCGAGGTGAATGCTGGCGTCAGCTGAGGGAGCCGTATCTGGCGCCTCCGAAGGCAGTTCTGGCCTCCTTTGCGGACCCAGGGGTTTCGAGCCTTGACACCCTATGTAGACCATCCAGGATTCACTTTGTTGCTCTTGCCATGTGATCTGCAAGCTTATCTTCGGAATGTTAGGACCTGCTCCGCTGAATTCAAGCCTCTGCTGTGGGTTTTTGACTTCTCCTTCCCGAGCCTGAAGTGCCAGCAAGCTTGTCATCCAGCTCACCTGCAAAGGAGCGGAATGATGAAGCAATCGACCAATTCGGTTTGGCGCACGGCGAAGGTTGGCGTCGCGAAGCGATCAGCGAAGCCGAAGAAGAGGACGAAGAAGGCCACGACAATCGGGTGCCGCACTGCGAGCATTCAGCAAGCGGGCAGTCGGATGACAGTGCAAGCTGCTTGTCCCAGCTGATTTGAGACAGGCACAGGAACTTGCGGACTCAAGTGATGATGGGGAGGTGGATCGCGACAGTCCGGGCCTGAGACGTAGAAAGAAGGAGGCAAGAGCACTCGAGATTCAGCTGCAATCGTCATCGTCCAAGGGCAAAGTTGGACCGTCCCACACAGCGGAACAGAGTCGGAGCTGCGACCGCTGACGGCTTCACAGCAGCGGATCTTGCAGCAGTTGGGGTTGCGCCGTCAACCAACTCCCATGGATGGTGCATGCCAGTTCCATGCAGTTTCAGCAGCAGTGGGTGAAGATGCGGAGACGGTCCGAGGCAATGCGATTGGGTACATCAGGCAGAATCCTGTTGATTTCCAGGAATTCATAGAAGGCCCTTTGGAGGAGTATATGGAAAGAATGAGTCGTCACGTCGAGTGGGGTGACCATGTCACATTGGTCGCCATAGCCGGGCATTACCAGAGACCCGTGCGTGTGATCTCGGACAGAGATGATCCAGAGTCTGAAGTCGCACCTCCCCGCTTTGATCCAACAAGGGAAGAGAACCCAATATTTGTGCTCTTCTATGCAGAGTTTCACTACGAAGCGGCCGTGCAAGACACATCTTGAGCAGCTCGGGCAGAATGTGGAAGTGTTCGCTGTCTTTCTTGAAGAGGTTGAGCCCTGCCCAGCAACACTTGGCCCCTTGCACAATGCGCATTGGACAATTTTGCCCATGTTGTTTTGGAATGGCTCGTGCAAGTATCAAGTTCGCAGCTTCGGAACACCAACCCTGAAGGAGCCACAAGCATCCCTTCTGAAAGGTTGGCTTTGCAAGCCTTGCTTTGATGGTTTTTGGGTTTGAAGTTTTAGGAAACTTCATTTGCGGAACTCTCTCGTCGCAATCGCAACACATGAGCTGGCTCATCGATGTTCCCGCTGTCAATCCCCCCTAAGATCCAAAAGTCTCAGGCTGCAGCCCTTCGCTGCCAGGAGGCCCTTCACATGGTTGATCCGTCAACGTGCCAGGAAGATCTCACGGTGCTTTCACGTGGCATGTGCGTATGCTGCGCAGGATGTATAGACCGGCATCGAAGGGTTCGTCGGCTGAGCAGGCCTTGTGATGCAAATGACGGTCTGCCATGCATGATCCCATGCCAGTTGGGATGTACGTGTGTGCTTGAAGAGCAGCGAGAAGCCCAAAGCCTGTGTTGCAGTAGCAGCCGCGTGCGCATCGCTTGCATACTGACTGGGGACAAATCTGATCTTAGAGTGCGGCTGATTCGTCGAATTGGCCGTCTTATGAACGAGCTGTCATAATTAAACAGGCAGCTGAGTGCAGCCGCCGCGGACAGACATGGACAGCAAAACTCACCCACTGCGTCGTCCAGAATTTGAGAGTATGTGTCTTGACATTGTAAGTGTTGTTTTGCAAGGGCATCTCAACATTCGAGCCTCGTGCGCAAAGCCGAACTCGGATGTCGGAGTGAAACGCCTGAGCGGAATTGAGCGGAGCATGATGTTAGCCCAGGATGCGCAGTGTGGTAGTATATTCGAGGCTGCAAGGCAAGCAGTCTCATTAGTTCTGCGGCACAGTTCGCACCAAGATCTGCTTTCAATGCGGATACAGTAGAGAACTTCAGGCACCGTAGGGCGTGATGCAACAAAACCTGCTGCGCCAAGCACCTGTCTTTTCATTTCGTTTTGGGTATAGCACATGCTGGCACCAGTGTCGGTTTCGGTGTCCTGGTCAGTGCCAGAACATTGATATGATCTGCGCTGCTGGCTGTTTGGGCTGAAGTCTAACAAGGGATCGGTGCAGAGGCAGAACTGTCGATTTGTCGGCCTGGCCAAGTTTTCAAGCTCGAGACAGACGATGCAGCGTTGTTTTATGAGGAATTCGCACTGGAAGGGTTAAGTGTGGATGACGGCTTCACCGTCAAAGCTCCAGAGCCACGTTAGTCAATACGAAGAAGTTGCCCGACAGTTGATGTGATATTTGTGCACCGGAGACTATTAATGCGAAGGCAAGCACGATCGGCTTCGTTCCCGCCAGGTACCCCCTCGGTGTGGTCAGTCCACACATATCGCTGCTACAGAAAGGTTCGCAGAGATCGTGCAGGCCCGTGACATTTTGACTGGTGTTTCTTGCAGACGGAAGTCACGTGATGTAGCTCCGTGCACCATCAGTCAGGCTGAGCTACATGCAGCCGTGGGAAGTGTAGTCGGATCTTATTGCTGACACGCCAGGACGTGATGGAGTCAGTCCAGAAGGACCTTGCGTCTGTGCCCTGAACTCTGAGACCTGTGCTCCATCCTAAGCCAAACTCGGGCGCAGACTCTCAACCTCTGCCGCGACCAGGAGCAAACCTCATCCAACGGACGATGGGTGCCCGAGCTGTTTTTTCGGAACAGCAGGGGGTAGGATCAGGTCAGTTTCGCGCGTTGTTGCCGTCACGGACCCGGTGCAGGAATCAGATTTGGCAGAAGCCCCTAAACGTCCCACTGCTTGATTCCGAATTCGGGGCCTCTTAGATCTGCCACAGCCATAGCATGCCGGAAGCATGGATCTACATGCAGGGGGCCAGGCAGATCACTCTCTCAGCTACAGGTTTCTTTGCCTTTTGCACCGCCGTGACCAGTCACTCCTTTCTTTAGCCTTTGTGGACCTACCCCGTCGACTTCTTGCTGGGGTGCTTCATTACAATCTCGCAAGGTGCTGCGCAACACGTTCATCGAACTTGTTGAAGATGGCTCCCCTGCCAATGCAGGCCTGGACCTCGTCCTGCCCATGTCAGCAGGTTGCCCTTCCCCTTGGAGTCGGGATCCGTCCCCCTCGACCGAGTGCAAAAGGCTCCGCATTCTTCCTCCCAAATCAGAACCTCCAGATTCTCCAGCTTCTGCCGCCCAGATGGCTTCTCGAGCAACTGCTTGATGCGCGCCAGCTCGGACTCCGTTCTCTACGAGGGCCCGATCCTCGAGGGTCTAAACTCGTAGCATCCGTGCTCTAGGGTTACTCTGCGGGTTACTATGAGGCAACTATGCGGCTACTTTCAGAGCACTGGAGTCTGGCTATTTTTGGTTGGCTTCTTCTGTCGGTACTTCTGTCCCTTTCATGGCTATGTCCTGTGCTTTGCATCCGGCCTTGTTCTCATGCAACTCTTGCACCAACAGGTTACTCGCCCAACCAGGCGCGTACTGCAGCAGACACCGTATAGAAGCTGAGCAGCACCCCCACGAGTTGCATTTGCAAGTATGTCACGGCCGCAGCCTCCGATCCGGGGTCCACGGGTCTCACACTGTTGGAAATTCTGCAGCTCCATCATGCGCGGAGACCCTCCTGCTGCGGAGGCACCTCAGGAGGTTCAGGAGACCAAGGCACTGTCCGGATCTGTCGGGCCCTGACTAATTGAAGGCTTAGCAAAGTGAGAAACTCTGGCACGGGTTTCGCAATAAATGCGCAGAAACAGGGCGGTGTTGTCGTTATGTTCATGTCCAGCCGGCAGAGCTTCTTTGAACCTTCGAAGTTCCAGGTTGGATCGCAGAAAACCTCACGTCGTCACCATGAGCTTGAAGTGGAAGTAAAAGGGATGGGAAGAAGCCACCCCGAGCACGACACATCCTTAGGCAGCATGGCAGAAGCGTACCTTTTGTCCGCTTCGACACTGTCCTCGTCGTTGTCGTTCGTAAAGGCGTCACCGCCGGCCGTCGTCATCGTCGTCCCAAGCCGTCAAAAAGGTCGCCCTCCTCTCCACTGCACTGCAAGGGGGGGTGTGGGCATGGAAGGCGCCGCAGAGGCCTCTGCCGCCCGCGAAGGACTTCAAGGACTTTCCTTCGGCCTGGCCCTCGGACAGAGGGTTTTCAATCCCAGGACACCGAGAAAGCATACGCAATCTCTGTGTGTGTATGATTATGTATGCACTTTGGGAGCTTGACCGGAGCGCTCATCTTTAGTCCGATCTAGCGCGCAGCTGGTTTTGGGTACTGGCTTTCAACGTCGGAGGTCTGTGAGGGCACTGCTTGCATGCTGATAAGATTTGGCATATCATGGGCTTCTGGAGCAGTAGGCTGCGGATTTCGGGTAGCGGGCTGAAGATGATGGCAAACCAATGGTCTGCCTAGGGCCTCCAGGGATCTGAAATCGTTGGCTCCAGCTCACGTCTCCATCATAAGAGTCTTCAGGCTGACAGGCCTCCGCACTCTCTCCGCTCGGGTTCGGCTAGCGGCTAGAGCACAAGACCCCACTAAGCACGTTTCCCCCAACTGACAATCAGGATTGCTACCCCGAGCCTTACCCTAGCAGAGGTGTAGTAACCTTTGGGTTCGTTGTGCTCTTTGTGTGCTGCTTCTGTCGGATCCTCCTTCTGCTCTTCTTGAGCCCTCGGTTCAAGGATGAGCCAATCGAGTTCGAGCTCAATGGCTGGAGCGACACGGAGACGAATCCAGACACCAAGGAAGGCACCCAGAGAATTGCTGAAGCAGAACAACAGGAATGACTTTGCTAATATAGCAGGCGGATGGCAATGTATCATCCACGAATCACTACATCAGTTCGTACATTTACACGACCTAACCTACTTGAACATAACCTACATGAACAATAGGCAAATCATCTGTGATTTGTTTCAAAGAGAGCATTAATAATGAGCAGTCGGCATATGAACAGGCAGAAGTCAGAGCCTAGAATTTGGTTGCATACAGCTGAAAACTTCCCAGCATGCATCAGTTCCCATGGCTTGGTGTCGCAGTCGCTGTCAGGTGAGAAGTCCTTGCCGCTGCCATGCTACTCCCACATCAAGGAGAACATGCGGGAATAGTGGCGGTTGCTCCAAGTGCGGCACCACCGTTAAGTAGTTCTGATCGTGAACAACATCTATGCGACGAAGGGTGGGTCAACGACGTGGTACCTAAACCCTACACCCTAAACTTTTGGGGAAGCAGTCGTCGCGAGAGACGCGTGCTCTTTGGACTTTATTTGGTTCACTGGTTGGAGGGTTGTTTCAGGCAGCCTCGCAGGCCTCGTTTCAGGCTCTACCTACCAGGTATTCCGACTGTAGCAGGGAGGGAAAAGGCCCGCAAAAAAAAGCAAACGCTCAAACCTAAACCCGTAAACCCTGCCATTCTGGGATGCCCGCAATGTGAGGACTTCCCCAGTGGGGAGAGCACGCCTCGCACCGCGCAGGCCACAGGCCGGTTCTCGTTTTATAGTCTGCGTTATTACATCGCAGGCAAAATGCTCTAGCCTCTGTGCCGCTTGTGCACGTACAATCTGACATGGCCCAGGACATGACGACTTTGACCAGTACGTCGCACGAACGCCGAGTCCAAGAGGAGCGGAATGCTCTGTGGACTTACTTTTTGTCGCGACGCCGTTACTTTGTGCTTCACGGTTCCATGCTCCCCGTTTCTGTCCGTGATCCCGTCGTCCTGGGTGCTTGTGCTTGTGGATCGGCAGTGCAATGTCATGACAGTCGCAGACTGTCCGCAGACATAATTGGCGACGGCTGCCGCAGTTCTGCCAGGCATGGACTGGCCCAGTGGCTTTGGCGAAGCAGCGGCATCCTCAGCTCCACAGGTACAGCAAATGTACATGGGGAGAGTTTGGGTCTCTATGGAGTCTTCTTCGGTCCAGGGCCAGCTCCCGAAGGAGGAGGACATGAGGCGGGCAAGGGTTGGGCCTTGGGGTGGGAGTGTCAGCTTCAGCTCGGCTCTCCTTTCCGTATCGCACGACTCTCGAAGGTCCGACCCAATGCCGGGACTTGCCCCTCCGACTCACAGCCGCGTGGGCCCGGCCCAACACTTCGTGGCAGCAGGGGCAAAGCTAAGTCGCCTGTCGGGGGCGAATCTCAGGGCAGGTATGGGAATTGAATGGGGAACTATTTGGAAGGACGGAGCAGCACATGTTGAGAGGGAACAGGCAAAGAGAAAGACGGATCCATGGCACAGCTCGAAGTGGCTTCTCGCGGCAGGTCTCCTCGTCTGACGTAGCGCTCGACAACAAAAGTGCCTCGAAACAGGCGCTTCCATGTGATGTTTGCTTTTATTGCTTAGTGGCTTAGTGTTCGGACTTTGTTTTTTCCTTTGGTTTGGGGTGGCGCGAGCTGTTGGCCTGAACGTGGACACCAACTGCCCACTGCCTCCCCTCCGCAGAACAGGACCTGCAGAGGCTAGCGGCGGAGGTGGCCAGATTGGCACAGGCAAGAGCACCGCGGTCAGAGTTGTTGGGTTCCGACTTTCTTTGCCTGAAGGACAGTGTCGGGCACCTGAGCTTGAGTGGCGAAGCCTCCAGAAGTTAGTTTGTTTGCAGCCAGGAGAACGAGTTTCTTCGCCAGCGGGTCATGGCACAGGACCGCGGTTTTTGTCTTGGGGAGGCGATCTGTCATTCCGTACAGCGACGAAGCAGCCCTCTTGGATCGCCAGGAACAGCGAAAGGACGAGTCGAAGAGCCAGGGCGAGTCGCAGCCGGCAGCTACGACTCCCGTTCAGCCAGTTGCTTAGGGGGCCCCACGTTGATGCGCCATTCTTCGCTTGTTTCCCCCCGGCGAGCTTCAGAATCTGCACTTCAGAATTTCAGAACGCACGTTTCTCGGGCGAAGCTTCGAAGCATCGAGGCAAGAGAGCAACATGGGCTGGGCCACGGTGTTGATGCCGGCACCAGCCTTGGAAGAAGGACTTCCTGCCTTCGTTACACTCCGCCACGCATTCAAATCTGAAAATCAGCATGTCAAAGTCAGTATTCGCAGTTTTGTTTCCGGGCCGAAGTACAGGGGGCTGCATCGAGTCACAGAACATCACAGAACCGATCATCCGGCTGAGCTCCCCCCCAAGCCCAAAAGGCGGGAACCCCCCAAACTCCTGACTCTCGTCGTCCAGGAAAGCATCCCCGAACCGCCGTGTCAGCCAAGGTGAGCTTCGGTCCCGGGTCGGGCAGCGGTTCTATGCAGGAGCCGGGAGCCCCCAAAGGAACCGAGGATCTTTTCTACACGAAATGTTGAGTCCTACGACCTACACCCCTTGGCAAGACAGGTAGTGAAACCTGTCTCCACTTATAGTTATAACGTATAAAGTGGCAAGAAGTGGCGTGTGTGGGGGTTTCCGCTCTCAGAGGGTGCTGGTAGATGAGGGAAGCAGCTGTTGGAAGGACTCGGCTGATTCCTGGATGGGTCCTCATGGCCCGCGCGAGCCCGAACGGGGGGGGGGGGGGGGGGGAGGTGAGCACGTTCTTTTCATCCTTGCCGCGGTAGGTGTTCACAGATTCGCGATCATGTTGGGCTATCCGGTATCACCAAGGATACGTGTGTTACGTATGGCCTGCCTGCATTGGTGTTGCCACAGTCATCACCAGAATCACATAGAATCACGATGTAGTCGCAAGTATGATGTTTATGTTGGTGTTCGTTCCACGCCTGCATTTCTCGGCCTGCCTTCGCCCGCATTGTCGCCAGTCCATCTTCTCAGTAGCCGCAGACTTCTGAGCCGTATCATTCTCGGTCGCGGTGTCAATACTATCACTCTCAGGGTACATGTCATGGTCATGTAAACGATTGTTGCGATAACTTCCTCTATCTCATGCCCAGGCACAGCCAGGAGTTGGGCCAGGACAGCCAACAGGCGCCCAAGGGAATTTGTCAGTCCTTCTGGCCCAAGGACAGTTTGTGATCTCGTGATGATTGGAATCCAGATGATTCTTGAATATTCCCGCAGGCCCCAGCTATAAAGCCCCGGAAGAGGCCCCAGGAGGCAGGCCCGTAAGAAGCACGCAACAGGCCCGGATCCGACTGACTCCTTCTTTCCCGAATCCCTCGGCCCTTTGCCCAAACGTGGAGTACAGACCCTGGTTCATCCGTTGTGGAAGGCCCGGCGACGTCGTTTCCGCGCTTGCCTGAGTTTTGGGGATCTGGGGCCTCGTCTCTTGGGCTTCGATTTGCGGTTGGCTTACTCCACAAGACCCACAAAGAGGCCTAAACCCTGGTGTTTTGACCCTAACATGCAGAAAAAACAGAGGCCAGAAGGGCGACGCGGAGTTCGAGGCTGGCAATAGAATACGGCATAGAACAATATGATACAGTTTCATGGAAGAGATGCAACATGATTTGTATAAATTTTCTCAATACGGTATCAGTATCAGATGATACAGTAGACTGTAATGTAGTAATATGGTATAGTAGAGTAGAGTCCAATATACAGTACTAGAATACGGTACAGTATAGTATAATAGCATATAGTATCATTCGGTATACTTGAAGAATGTTCGCATGTCGTGGCTTTGGGCAGGCAGACCTGAACCTCCAGAAAGGCAGAGTCAGGGACGCTGGGTACTGGGGTGTTGATGGAAGCTGTGCTCAGTCTGTCCTTGTCTGCTGGGGTCTGGGGCTTTTTTGTTAGACATTCGCAGACCACTGCTCCGTGAAGGCAGGCAGGTTCGTGGCACTGCCGTCCCGACGAAGCCTGTTGAGTGTCGAAGCCTAAGCGAATGGCGCGACCTCGGCCTTGTTTCTTGGGTTAGGTTCTGAGCGTCAGGTAATCGATAGCTACTGCTGAAGCACCTGCCAAGGACGTCGATTTACGATCTTCCTTTCTTTGCTCCCTCTCTCTCTCTCTCTCGTTCGTTTGAGACCCGGCTTTGGTGATGGGTGCATGGTTCGGTGGCCTGGGTCGGGAAATAGTTCCAAAATATGATGCAAGCCTTGATCCGACAGCATTGGAATCTTCCTGTTGCAAGCTGCAAGCCCTACTCTGATCTCGAGGCGATCTACCCATGGAAGAGTGCACAACTGCAAGCCCGTCATGGTTTGAGACAGGAGTCGCGTCACGGTGCGCGAGCCCTCGAAGCCAGGTGATGCTTCGCAACTTGCCGAACAACTACACGCGAGCGATGCTGTGAAGACCTCAGAGTCGGCAAACAGCCTCAAAGAGGTGTGCAGCCTGCAACGGCCCCTTCCAAGGCTGGCGATGCTTGACAGTGAAGGTTTTGAGGGCAAGTGCGCCAGCTGTTGGATGTTGTTGGAAGCCCTGGCCGGATCCTGTTGTGCTGACCACGAGGCTTCCGTAGGTCAGTTTCCAGATGCTTCCCGTCTACCATGCAGCGCTGGGTCTTAGTCTGCCAGACGTACGCAAGGAAACAAAAGTGAAGCCTCGATTCAGGTACAACTTTTTGTACTTGCCGATCGACTTTCAAAGCCGGGCCTGTCTAGGCTATGCGCAGATGCCCTAGCAGGATGAGGAGGTTCATGTGTTTGTAACAGTCACCTCTCCAACCGCCTTCAAGACACGAATACATAGACAGTCTGTACTGCACGTAAGCCTCTTTCTCTCGGCGTTTGTCTTGCATTGGCGGCATTGACCTACACGTGCATGGACGTACAATGACATACATACATGCATGCATGCATACATGGCGGGAAGCCTTGAGAATGATGATGAGAACAGTTTGTGACTTGAGTTTACGGAGTTCACAGTGTTGTCAGTTTTTTGAATGCACCGATCGGAGACGGTTCCGCCGAAATAGGCCAAGAGGGCTGTGCCATCACTTCATAGGCAGTGCATTCAGGTTGGACCAGAGGTATGCATCCTTGCTTTTCTAGAACTGCCGGGCTTGCCACCTAAATGCCCGGCGAGCATTCTGGATTCGGCCGTTGAGGCAGAGGTGGAGCCGTGAGTGTGGCAGCATCTGCTGTGTGTCTTGGCTTGAGAGTTTAGTGCGACCCAGGTTTGTTAACTTGGTGGACCCCTCCTACGTGGCCCAATTCTGGGCCAAATTCAGCCGGAGCCCGAGCTTTGCAAGCTTTCCAAGCTTCTGCTTGCAACTCCTCTTTTCGACCCCTTGATAAGAGGCGGCTATTCGAAGTGGGTGCTGCCAAGCAAGAAGGCCGGGTCCCCCTGGCCGACGCTTTTTTGCAGCCCTGGCGATGACGCCCTGCGAGAGGTGTGTGGAGTGAGCTGGAGCGGACCGCATCAAGGGCTGGAGGCGCGGACTTGCTTGGGCTTTGGAGGCCACAAGATAATATAGCGTGAATGTCATGCAATGCAGAAAAAGTGTAATAATGGAACCGATGATAGTACACACAACAGTACAGCACAATACAAGAACATAAGACAATATGAACAGTATAAGGGCCAAACGTGCACCCGGAATGTTCGACCTAGAACCTTGGCCCGGCGCCTGGCGTCGCCGAGGCTCATGTGGAGCGGTACCGCAACAGCCCTGTCCGGAGCTAAGAGTGGGTTTAGAGGTTAGGATTGAGGGTTTAGCAATCTGATTGGACTCAAAAGTTGCTCAGTTCAGGTTGCTAGGACCAGGCAGCAGTGCGTCGCTTTCACGAAAATCCTCATCTACAGCGCAGCCAGCGAACGTGAGTCTGCCTATGTTTTTCTGCTCAAGTCTCGCGTTGCTGTGGGGTAGGTGGGTACATGTGGGTACGGTGGCGGGGCCTTCCAGATCTTGAAAGCCCTGAACTATCGCAGCCGAGGGGGTGGGCAGAAACTTGCCCCCCGTGACCATGCAGCAGCCGACGAAGTCCACAGCCAGCTTCGAGCGAGTGAATTGCCTGGACGAGCACGACTTCCGGAAGCTGTTGGGCTTCCGCAGCATGATGGCGATGGCCTGCCTGTGGACAGGGCGCGCGCTATGGTGTCAGAACAGAAGGCACCGATTTCGCAGCCCTCGGCGATGTCGAGGACACCTAGGCAGACGCTCCTGCTTCGTGGCAGCTTGGCTCAGTCCAGTCTGGTAGAAATATGTACAGCGCTCCAAACTGGCTCTGGATGTAGTGGATGTTTTCAGCACTCTAGCGTGCATTTGGGCGTTCTTACACGGACGCCCTCTCAGGAATTCTTCCGCGGCCCGAGGAGGACGCCCCGCCACGACGTGGCACATGGGACAAGGCCTGTGTCACCCACGTCCCTTCCGTGTTCTAGGTGAATCAGGGTGCGATCTCATGGGCTCCGGGGAGCCAACAATCCGGCCGTGATATGCCTCCAAACTGTCGCAGGTGCTCCGGATGAAGGCTTGGGCTGCAACGCTGCTACCGCGCAAGCGCAACAGAGTCGAGTCCCGCTCGTGACACAGGAATGTTGCGCGCGTGGGGGCGCCATAATATGATCTGATGTTCTGATGTCCTCCGATAGGGATTTTTCAAGCCGACATAAGCCGACAGACCTTTTCCAGTCTTGCTGCTAACCACAGGTTGCAAAGGCAATGCGCTGGTGGAAAGTAGTTTGAGTTTGGATCGAGGGAACTTCAATGGTTCAGAAGCGATACACACCTCTGGCCAGCAGCATGTCGAAGAAGCCCTTGTCAGCGAGCCGCTGATTCTTCACCAGGGATTTCCTCGGCATTTAGGTGTAAATTGGGAAGGTGCTGTTGAGCCCTTTTGGATGAAACGGGCGTTTCAACTCTGACTTGACTATGTCTCGCCTCTATGGCCGTGTGGTGTCTGAGACGTTGAGAAATGTCGGGGCACCACCAGACGCTGGCCGCTCCTTTTAGAGGAATAGTGTTCACGTGGAACAGCTTTGGGCCGCTCTCTCCAGCTCTGAAGATTCGCCTGAGAGCTGCAGAAAGTGAATCTGCGTGGTGTGTTGTTGGGGCTTGGAGCACTGAAGAAGAGAGCAGGAACATGCGGGCAGGAGTGTCTAGTCTGTGCATGTTCGTCTCCTCAAGTCCCACAAGGGTATTGCGCGCCGGAGATAGAGCCACTGTAGTAGTGGAGTGCCGTGAGCGTTGGCAGAAACTTGCCCCCCGTGACCATGCAGCAGCCGACGAAGTCCACAGCCAGCTTCGAGCGAGTGAGTTGCCTGGACGTGCAGCGATGGCGCGCGCTATGGTGTCAGAACAGAAGGCACCGATGTCGCAGCCCTGGGCGATGTCGAGGACACCTAGGCAGACGCTCCTGCTTCGTGGCAGCTTGGCTCAGTCCAGTCTGGTAGAAATATGTACAGCGCTCCAAACTGGCTCTGGATGTAATGGATGTTTTCAGCACTCTAGCGTGCATTTGGGCGTTCTTACACGGACGCCCTCTCAGGAATTCTTCCGCGGCCCGAGGAGGACGCCCCGCCACGACGTGGCACATGGGACAAGGCCTGTGTCACGAGTCAGGGTGCGATCTCATGGGCTCCGGAGAGCCAACAATCCGGCCGTGATATGCCTCCAAACTGTCGCAGGTGCTCCGGATGAAAGCTTGGGCTGCAACGCTGCTACCGCGCAAGCGCAACAGAGTCGAGTCCCGCTCGTGATTCTGTGCGAGATGTTCTTGCTGGATGAAGCCGCACGTGCTTCTTCACGTTGTCGCGTTCTGTGGATGGTCTCCAGGATGTAGTTCCATTCTGGAAAGATGCGTGCATCTTCCTCAAGTTCAAGACTATGTCGATTCGAGAGGCAAGGACGAAGCCCATGATGCCAGCGATTTTCACAAATCTAGTGGCACGTACTTGCGCAGCAGCGTTTTTCGTTGCGCCACTTTTCTTTTTTTTTGACCACGTTTTATCCCTTGCCCCCGAAGTCTTGCAAACTAGAAGTCAGCACAATGGCTTTTCTCTGCTGTGGCATGATTCTTTGACGGGGCAGGGGGTGTGCCAGCGGGCTCGGTTTCTTTTTCCACGTCTCGGAAGCACTGCCCAGGGCTGCGCCGCCGAGCGATCCCGGACGACGTCCTTCGGGAACACTAGCCCTTCAGAGCGTTATTCTAGGCTTCTTGTCAGTTCGACTGTGTCTGGAACCTGGAACCGCCTTCTATGCAAAGCGAACTCGAGAGTGAAAGCTTTGAAAGTATACTTGCAACTTTGCCTCATTCGCAGTCTGTATCGGTGCACTGGTTCCAGACACACAAACACTTGGCGAAATCTCGCCAAATCGAAAATAAAAAACATCGCGTCAGCCGAGAAGAGAGGCAAGAAAATAATAGGCCCGAGTCTGCTCATCCCTGGGCCCCGGCCGTTCTGGAAGTCACCCTTCTCTCGGAGTCGGCCGAATCAAGTTTTGCGCAGTGTCGTGAACAATTTCAATGAAGCACTCGCCGAGGTCATGCACGAGAGTGTGCCGGACGAGTGCGAGCAGCGGAGTTTGATTTCTGAGATGTCGCATTGCGCAGAGAAATCCCAGCGTGCGGGGCCTGAAGACTGGTCAGAAGCCCTGAAGGCTCCTTGACAGCGTTCACACGAAGGTCAGCTTGTACGCTCCCGGCAGGTACAAGCCGGTGGTTCTCCAGAATGGCGTTCGGGCGGGGGCCTTGAGGGAAGCATGCGGAGAAGCCCGAGCTCTTTCGTCACTAGACCCCAAGAGCTTCGGGTGGAAGAAGCCTGGCAACTCCAACACCGACATGTGCTCCAGGTGGCTTTCCCGGAACCCTCGAAGGCTCCGAGGTGCACCTTGCGCGCTTTGACCGGCTGGCCAAGACTGTCAGCGGTCGCCTGTCAAGTCAAACAAGCCGACGTCAGCGAACAGCTCGTTTTGATCCGCAGCAAAGCGCAGCAGTGCAGCCTAGAATTAGGAACAACGAATCCTGGAGTGTTTGTGTGGGGATCGGGGATCCGCGATTTTGAGAGCATCTAAGTCGTTGTTCCATCAACTAGACACAGCTCTCAGTGGCGAAGTTGCCTTTGCCCGCACGGAGGCCCCCTCGTATTCGCCAGCATCATCACAGCCACATGGACGGCAAGGTTGTCTTCGCCTGAGTCGCTCACTGTGCAACTTGAGCATTCTGCAAAGTTTCGTGAACTGAGGCAGGCTGGCAGCACAGGCGGCAATCTGGCGATGCTCCGAGGACCCGGGGTCGGAGGCTTCTAAGCGCTGAGCGAATCCAGAGCCGTGCCCAACCCGCAAAGACGAGCGAAGCGACAGCTCAGCGCCTGATCCTATCCCTGGCCCAATGATCCAGGATGCCCATGGCAGCAGGATGCTCAGTACAAAGGGCTTCCAGTGCAGAAGCATGCAAAAGTCACCCCCGCAAGTTTGGACTGAGACTGCGCTTTCTACAGGAGTCCCCTCAACCCTAAGCCCCTGTGCCAACCGGAAAGCTTTGACTCCTGCGACGAGGTTGGAGCTCTGCCAGTGGGATCGCTTTCGCGTTCCTGAGCCGAGGCCTTCTGTGGGTCGCAAGTCTTGGCGGGATTGGATCAGATGCGTTGCGAGGACGACAAGAGGAAATCCGCCAAGAGGAGCCTCTGTTGAAAGTGCTGCTTATGCCTAGAACTCTTGCAAGCTTGCTGTAGCCGATCCTTGAAAGCAGCTGCCTGGGTCAGTTTCGGGCTCACGGAAGAGCATGTGAGAACCTTTTGCACCTCAACAGCACGGCAAGCTTGCGCAGCAGAGTTTTGGGGAACTGCTTGGCCGAAGAGCTCATGGACTCATGGACTCTTCTGATGGGTGCACCTTCACATTCACATGCCCTGAGCTCCTCGCAACACTGTTCTGCTTCATTCAGTTCTCCATCTGAGGGCAAGTGAAGCTACTGCCTCAGATTAGTGCTTCAGCAGGAAGCCGAGTCATGCAACACCCGGTCCCCCAAACGTCTCACATTGGCCCCAGGAGAGAAGAGTCAAGAAAACCTGTGCAAATCCGGGAGAGGCTCTCTGCGAATTCATTAGTCGGATATGTTGCTCTGTTGACTTTGCAGATTTGTTTCAGTAGGTCCATGCTGGTTTTTGTCCCAACTGCGCCACAGCCGCTTGGGCACTTTGGGGAAGTCTGACACATATTGGCAAGCCAGAGCCTGCGAGAACTTTGAACGCGGCTGGCTGCACCCGAATCGATTCTATTTTCCACAGGATGCTGCTGCAACGTAATATGCAGTGGCCCACATGCAAAAATTATTGCACTGCGCCTGCTGCGCCTATTGCGTTTGGCTGGCAAGTTGAGGCCAAAAGCTGCAGAGTGCAGAACAAGCCGTGTTGTTTTTGCACATTGTCGGCTTGCCTGGGCCTGGGGCTCCTTAAATCTCAGTCTAGAGCGGGCACCAAGGCCGTGGAGACAGCCCAGGCTGCCGTCCAGACGGCCGAACTGCAGCTATTTTCCCCCTGTAAATAAGGACAGTCGACAGCCTCTGCCTGCATTGCGCGTCGCCGCGCACGCCCGCGAGGGCAGGGCTGTTGGACGTGTTGAGTCTGGGACCTCGGCCCCACACACACAAGAGGGTGAGATGGTCGCCAAGGCAGCGTGGTTTCAACCCTATCAATCTTCGAGCATGTGGCATCAGCAGCGATCAGCAGCCGTTGGCCACTCTCCTTGGGACCTGCTCCCTTCTTGCTCAGCTGGGTGACGCAGTCACGGACAAGCTGGCGCCTGACTAGTGGAGCTACTTGGGCCGCTGGGACACCTCTGCGGAGCTTGGCTGAACCCGATCTGTAACAACTAGAGACTAGAGACCTAGAGCAAGCACGGGTTTTCCCGGCCGAAGCTGCGCAGAGCCAGTTGGAAAAGGTCACGTGCTACGTTCGCAGCTCTCCTCCCGTTTCAACGAACAATAAAAAATGTGGAGATCAGTGAATAAGTCCCACAAAACCGAGACAAGGCCCTGACACTTTTCCCGGAGGGGGGCTGCAGCTCGAGAAGGCATAAAGTCGCGCAGTTTGCTTCCAAGTGTCAGAGGACCACAATAATTCTCCCTCGCTGGGTCTTCCTTGTTCTGGCTGCTTGCATTGGGTCTGAGCAGGACAAGCGCACCACATACAATAGTATCAACGTGTCGAAGACTACGTTCTGACTTTGTCGCTTCTAGTTGAGAGCCAAGCCTTTTCTCAAGTTATGCATTCTGACGGCATGAGACGGGCATGTCACAACACACGTGTTTGAGAGTACCGTTTCCCAGTCCGACTTGTGTTGTGGCTTCGGTGGTGCGCTCCAGACGTATCTTGGCAAGTCGAGTCGTTGCACAGTGGCCCTCTGACGAATTCGTGCCATTGGCTCGTAAAGTTGCCCAGGGATGCGGAGACCCAGAAAGTTTGTTGGCGGGTCTCTCATGGGCGAAAGCATCGCTTGAACTGACTGGCTCAAGGCTAGGGCGGCTAGGTATGCTCACTCCCCCTACCCGTAACTATCGCCGATCCTCCCTCCGCAGACGAGGAGACCTCGCATCCTTGTGCAAGTGCCGGCATTTTGCATAAACATGCACCCGTTGCCCAAGCAGACCTGACCTGCGGGCACAGAAAGAAGCATTGATGGGCGATGGGGTTTGGGGCTCTGCCTTGAATGCTTCGAGTTTCGGGCTGAGGCTTGGGGTCTGTTGTGCGTGAGAAGGCATTTATGACTGAGACTTGACGGGTTTTCGAGTGTTTTTTATACTGTCGCATCGTCAGACCTCACTGGAGGCAGCTGGTTGACTGCTTGCTTCGAGATGCCATCAGATGAAACACCGTTTCTCGATGTGCTTTTCATTATGCCGGAGTGTTGCGTTTCTTTGGCTCAGGCCGCCTGCGCCAAAGCTGCGATCGCGGAAATTTAGATACGGTAGGTAGCTTCCTTGCAGACAAATCCAAAAGGTTTCAGGTTTCTTATCTGATCTGTTCCCAGTCGGTATTATGACTGCTGTGCATTTGTAGGACTGCCATGGCGATGCAAGAGGAATGGCCAGGCCGCGTTGTGAGGGGAAGAGGGTGCTTGCCGGCAAACGAGAGTTTGAGACCTGCCAGTTGCCCAAAGTAGTGGGCAGCGCTTGAATCGGCTGTCTCCTATCCTAAACCCTAAACTTTCGGCCCTAAGCCGTAAAGCAAGGCCCCAATTTCAATAAAGCCTCTTGAAGCCATCGAAGTGTATTCACATAGTTTTCCCTCACATCGCTCACCCAGTGGCAATCTCGTGGCCTGACCGATCTTTAGGAGGATGCAGCGGACCAAGGGAAGAGCTCTCCAAAACAAAAGTCCAAGCCCGAAACCCGCGGCACAAAGCCCCTGAACCCTAAACCCGAAACCAGTCCTAAACCCCTAAACCCCTAAATCCCCCAACTCGAAACCTTGAGGTGAGGAGCCGCCGTGGGCGGAGTGGCCGGCCAGCGAGGCCGACCCTTCCAATGCGCTGAAGGAAGAGGCCGGCGGGGTGCGCGGGGTGCGCGGGGGGGAATGGTTGGGACATGGTGGGACCGTGCGGAATGTATCCACATTATGCACCCCAAGTTTAAAGGGACACAGGTACAACCCGGATCCTGAATAAGAGAGACCCGCAGTCGAGGGATGTTGGCATCTCGGGAGTTGACAGTCGTTGACAGGCAGCAGACAGCGAGATGCAAGGTCTGGAGGACTAGTGCCGCAGGTTTAGGGGTACGGTGTTTCAAGCGTGCTTGGAGGATAGTAGGCAGTTATTTTCGAGTTTGCAGGAGCCTTTGGCCGTGGCCGGCGTCTCAGACTCCAGCTGCAAGCAAAGCTGCTGATTTACCCCGGGCTGCAGGCTTGAGCCTTGCTGATTGAGGTGAATCCTGAAGCCTTGCTGGAGGAAGATGAGGAGGTAGACGTCGACTGCGAAAAGTTCGACCCCGACGAGAAGCCAGAGGATGTACAGGATGCAATGGCTATTGCTTGCATGGGTGTCGTTGAGTCCTTCAGGGGGAGTCTTCCCGAATTGACCTGCTGCCGCGAGATCCTGTGAGGAGAAATTCAGGGACGCGTTTCGCAAGGCTCGCCTGCAGGGCTGACAGTCACTGCAGCTGAGCAGTAGAAGAGCACATCATGACTATCAAGTCAACAGCCATCATGTCAGTATGCCATGCTGTAGCAGGCCATGAAAGTACTCAACGACATTCAGCAAGCTTGACATAACGAGACCAGCACAACATGTGCGGTACGGCAGTAAGGTAAGTTCGCCACGTAAGGCCACCTCTGAACATCACACCGCTTTGCACGACTTCGCGCGGTATGCTACATGGCATTACCTGTTTGACTGCACGGGGTGGTGTGATGCGTCATGGAATGAAGGTGGTGTGACGTCGCGTATCATGGCGCCATGGCATGATATATATATATATATATATCACCACACTGGCACATTGGACTGCAGTTCCGTGCTTCACTGCGCCTTTTCGCGCATGCTGAACATCTCCGGAGGGGTCGGAGTGCCCTTTATAATTATACTCTAATATACCCCACTCCCTGTACAGTTCCACGAGAACATGCCCCAAAGCCCTCGAATCGCAGATGGGCTACACGATCTTGCTCAGCGGGCTCGGGCCTCGGACGCCTCGCCCGCCCCGGCCCGGAGCACAGAACGACACCGGAGCGAAACGGCCCTGAACGCGTAACCCTGAACTCTAAGCCAAAGAAAAGACCCAAGCAGATGATGAGACACTTGTGATAGGCTGTCAAATGGATGTCGTTAGACAGGAACAGGCCTTTCGAAAAGTGCGCCACGAGCCAGTGCTTCAGGAACGCCTGGGATTTAACAATCGGTTCTCTTCGCTGGCCTGAATTCTTGTTGCAGGCTTTGCGACATGAGCCTTGTCGACTATGTTAGCTGGCCGAGCTTTTTCGAGGCCCTGCGCCCTTCAGCATGACTGCCCATGCGACTGCGAAGCTCCAGGGTTGCACTACCCAGAAAGTCTTGAATGTCGTTGATGTGATGTGACGAGAACGAAAGTAGGTAAACGTCGATGACTCTTCTCGCTTGTTTATTTGGGGCTGCTTGGCGGGAGGGCTGGTGCTTCAGCTGCCGCGCCAAGCTTCGAAGTGGAACAGGGGCTTGCCTCGCTGTCAAGTTCCAGGGCCCCTGGCCCGAGGCCCCTCTACAACGAGATTTCAAGAGAAGTGCCCTCAGTGTGAAACTTCTCATGTTTGCTCCGGCATGGCTACAGGACATGGCTTCCAGTGTCTTGGAGGCGCGGGGGAAAATGCATGTTAGTTTGAAGGATGTGTAGTCGAGCTTTCAACACCCGGACCCTGGCAACGCCTACGCATTGCCATGCATCGTGGGTGGCTTCTAAGCAGCTTCCAAGCTGGAACCGACGATGCCACTCAGACCATCTGACCCGGTAGGCATGTTCGCCGTTTGGTGAAGTTCTACGCGGCTTCCTCAGATGTGGAAGCAAATTTCCTGTCAGATATAGGTCTCGAGAACAAAGACAGACATGATCGACAGCAACTCGAACTCGAAGTATGTTCCACAATTTTGGAAGCAGAGCAAGTCTCCTCGTGAGAGAGCTCTGTTCAATGGACATCTTGTGAGCTCCCATCGTCGCATGGTTCTTCCACAGTTCGCCAGACTGCTTCCCGGACTGCGGCGGCGTCCACGCCCGAGCGCAGCACCAAGTTGTCTCGGGATGGGGCTCAGGTCGCGGCAGTTGGCCTTGGTAGACCTGGATGATCAATCAAGCTTAATCATTGTTGTCGGCCAAAAACGCGCGACTGCCTGTGCAAGTACAGCGAGTGGAGTGTCATTCAGACCGCTTTCACCAAAGACCTCACGGTTTGATGTGATGACAGAGAAGACACGTCATCCATGTTACCACGGCCCCAGAAACCCTAGCGGAGTTCGCTTCCGAAGAGGTATGGGTCCGCTTTGCCACGGAGGGGGCAGCCCAGGTTCCGGCTCAGTCCAAGCAGTCCAGTGGGCCAGCGGTTAGAAGCCGTCTAGAGTCTAGAGGCAAGAAGCCTGTAGGTTTATAGGGTTTAGGGTTTTTAGGGTTTTTAGAGGAATGCTGCTGCGGGATGACGGAGTCGAGTGGAACGTTTGACCCAAAGAAGCCCGGTCAGCTCTCCGGCAGCGAGGCGTGTCAAAACAAGATGGACAAGACAATGTTCGCCGGCAGCACGATCAAGGCCAAGCTCCGTCACAGAGTTGGGAATGTGACGCATCCTGGCGGTTCTGGCGGTCCTGGTCTCCTCAGCCCTTGGGGCTCCCCTTCTTGTAAACCAGTGGATCCAGTGGTAAGATTTTGAGCATCAGCAGTCGGCTTGCTGTCCTAGTTCTCATTTTGCCAGCTCGTTTCCGCGAGAGCAGGTCGAGATAGTGGAAAACGGCCACCCTCACCAGGAGCTTGCAATTTGCGAAAACAATCTGCGCGAGTGTCGAGGCTGCTTTTGGTACTTCCTCAGCATTGCACGCTTTGAGCAGCGATCCTCCCCTGCTTTTTCCCGAGTTTCTTGGGCAGCTTTCTAAATCAAGCAGGAGGGGAACTGTGCACGGGTACCTGAACTCAGCTCGCCATCAGTTTAGTTACCTACAAGCGGCAATGTCAAGAGCGGATGGCATGCACTCTGTCTTTGACCTTCACATCCGTGTATGGCTCTCAAGTTCTCTTCAAAGTCTCAGCACAACCACTTGGTTCCAAAGTAGCTGTGCGGAGCCGCTTGGAGCATCATGGTGCCGTCCTTAGCACAGACAATTGAACTTAGCCAGATGGCTCCTAGGAGCTGATGCGGAATACACACACACACAACTCGCTTGTCGGTCTGTGCAGATCTGCCAGACGTCCCAGGCGGAGGGCTACATGGCTACCGCCACTCTGGCTCCTCCAAAGAGTGAGGAGGAACCTTCTGTACCCATGTGCAATCATGCACGGATGCATGTATATCATGTACGCATGTATGTATGCGAGAATTGATCTAAAGGTCCGTGTCTTCGTTGCTAAAATCGTACCGTCCTTCAGATGTAAAGCAATGTGTCCGCGAAAGACTCGCGATGCGTCCACGCCAAGAAACACAAGTCCGCGAAAGTTGTTACGCAATAATAGACTTGGGGCATGTAAGTCTTACAACTTATAAGTTTTTACAAGGTTTTTACAACATCGTTCGGCAAGGCCTGCCTCAGCACAACGTTAGCTGTGTGCAAGGGGACTCCGGCGACTCTGCGGCCCGGGCAGGGTAGGAGCATGAGAGGAAGTTCCCCGAAAAGAAAACAAAGATCCGCGAATAAGGCTATTGCCAGAAGAAGGAATATGAATCAACGTGTACTCCATGTATGTAGGTATGTATGTATGTATGTATGTATGTATGTATGTATGTATGGATGCATGCATAGAAATAATTAAGTAAGTCAGTAAGTATGTCTGTCTGTCTGTCTGTCTGGCTGGCTGTCTGTCTGTCTGTCTGTCTGTCTGTATGTATGCATGTCTGTATGTATGCATGCATGCATGCATGCAAGTAAGTAAGTCAGTAAGTAAGTAAGTATGTATGTATGTAAGTATGTATGTATGGCACATACAATGGCATGCAGTGAGCGAAGACACGGGGAGCGAACTTAGTCCTGATGTGAGACATGGGTGCACGAACCTTTCGATAGGAAGCCTAGAAAGTCTCCAGGACCACGACCAAGCGGCAGCGCTAGCTTCCGGCCCAGGCATCCACTGGCCCTGAGCTTTGGGTTGGCAGTAACAAATCGTATTGATGGGGTCTTCGTGGTTCTGTATTTGTAAATGTCGTCTATCTACCGGGGGGAACAAGTCCCAGGGCCGGGTCTTGGTGGGTCTTTCTACCTTTCAGGACTTACATGCTGTTGGGTGTCCGGTGGTTAGACTCCGGAAGGTGCCTGCATTGCTGGGACTTCGGCGGCTGCTCCTTCCACGGCGGCCAAGGGCACAGGGCCCAAGCGGAGTGCTGCTTTATGGCTCCTGTGGCCATGACCAGTACTGAGGTCGACGCAAAGTCTTCGACGCACACCTGGACCAGGACACCATAGAAGCAGGCCTGGAGCCCGAAGTGCGAGAAGTCTAACACCGGTGCAAGGCAAGCTAACTGCATGTGTGTGTGTGTGTACTCGTCTACCCATGCTGCAGACGATCTTTTGCAAGCGCGCTGCGAGCTGAAGAGAGTGAACGTGTGAGAGAGATGCTCGGAGGCCTCGCCACGGGGGTGCTCTGCTGAGTCTCAAGGGCCGACACGTGATTGCGTGGGCCGAGTTGTCTCTGATGGCAAGCGAGGCTCTCATCCGCGGCATCTTGAGAGTCAGCGGATCAAAGCTCAGTGAGCCCGGCCCGATTTTGTCGGCTCGGCTCTTTGGGATCCAAGACCCTGTCCTTTTTGCCGATCACGAGAGGTATCGCCTTTGTGCGGCCAGAGGGTGCCAGAAGTGACGACCGGGACTTGGTGGCCAGCACCTCACCATCCGTCTATGCGTTTCTACCCACCCTCTCCCCCTTTCCCTTCCTCGTGCTTAACGAGGGCTATGCAAAGGCGAATCAGCACGGCTGTTTGTCTGTCTGTCTCTCTGTCTGTCTCTGTGTCGATCCGTCTGTCTCTCCGTCACTCTGTCTGTCCTTCTGTTTGTCTGTTTGCCTGCCTGCCTGCCTGCCTGGCTGTCTCTCTGTCTGTCTGTCTGTCTGTCTGCCTGCCTGCCTGCCTGCCTGGCTGTCTGTCTCTGTGTCTGTCTGTCTCT